TATTTTCTAATAACGATCCAAAGGTTTCCTACTTATTACAGGCCTCTCCGAGTGAATATTGAGTGGTTAATGTTGTACGAATGATAGAAACATTTAATATTAAACTGGATGAAGCGAGAGAGATATGTCAGGACCGTAGCAGGTGGAGATCCGTGGGTTCTGCCTACCCCATCTGGAAAAAGGCGTGATGATATTAACGAAATAAAAAATAATTAAAATGATTTGGATTAATCATTAACTTAACAGAAACCTTGTAATACATTTATTTGTATTTTTTAAATAAGTTGACAATACATACATATAGAACTTACGACATTTAACAGTAAAAATTTGGCGTCGGGACGTGACGACCCCATCGCCCACTGGTGAAATAACCTGTGACAGAGGTTATTTCATCAGCGCAATCAGTCAACCCCTTCCTAGTGGGAGTGCCATGCTGTTGCCTTCGGGCTTCAGCCAAATGGGCAGGCACGACCGGGGCAGTACCACTGTCTCTTAGAAAACCGGCGTGAAGTGATGCAATAGGTTCGCCTTATTGTACTCGCGTTTCGTACGGTGAGGGAGACTCTCGGAGCCCATCCCCCCCATATGAAATATGAAGGTGCAGAACAAACAGAATCTACCCCAGGGGGGTACCACACGCGCTCGCGGTGGAGAATCCCTCTCTGGGCGTCCAACACCGGGACACTCAGCACCCGGTGGTGGACGCACAGGCTGCCCTTCGTATTCTGGGGGGGCAATTCTGCGCTCAACAAAAACAGTTATCGTTCTCGGGGCAAACGGAGCAATTCAACAAAGGCACCCCCGTCCACGCTCGCCGTGGACTTCACAAATGTTAGGGGGCTCAATTCCAATATCAACGCAGTCCACTACCATTTAGAGACTGCGAAGCCGGCCTTGCTCTTTCTTACCGAGACTCAGATTTCCTCCCCGGCTGATACTTCCTACCTCACCTACCCGGGGTACAAATTGGAACATTCATTTGTGCCGCGGGCGGGAGTTTGCGTGTACGTCAGAGAGGATATCTGTTCTCGTCGCCTCGGGACGCTTGAAGGAAGGGACCTATCTAACCTCTGGCTGCGCGTAGACTGCGATGACCATCCGCGATTCTACGCATGCCTGTATAGGTCCCATAGCGGAAATACCGAAACTGACTGACTCATTGAGCACATCCAAATGGCTACAGATTCCCTGCTCGAAAGGGTTCCTACCGCTGAAATCGTGATACTTGGCGATTTTAACGCCCACCATGCCGATTGGCTCGGCTCTGAAACCACCGATCACGCGGGAAGATCCTTTCACGACTTTGCTTTAGCCTACGACTTGACACAAATGGTCCCTGCGATTACGCGAATACCAGATGTGGATGGTCATAAACCCTCTTTGTTGGACCTTCTGCTGACTTCTCATCCGGAGAACTATCAAGTCTTTGTTGACCCGCCATTGGGTTCATCGGATCTTTGTGTGGTCCGGAGTACTGTGCCATCTACGCGCCCTTCACGGCCCCGCTTTATGAGTTGTCGCCGTATTTGGCACTATAAGTCAGCAGATTGGGACGGGATGCGGTCTTTCTTTGCGTCCTACCCTTGGGGGCCTATATGCTTTTCGCCGGAAGCTCCAGATTCCGTCGCCGCCTCTGTCGCCGAAGTGGTTCTTCAGGGCATGGAACTCTTTATTCCATTTTCTGCGGTGCCGATCGCTGGCAAGTCTCAGCCCTGGTTTAAACGTTCTTGCAAGGCGGCCTCGCGTCGAAAGCGAGAATGCTTTAAGGCATGGGCGGAAGCGGCGAAATCTCGTGATGCCAATACCAGCGAACTTAAAACAGCATATAACTCAGCCTCCAGGTTCTTCAAACGGGAAATCACTAAGGCAAAGTCAGAGCACATTGCCAGATTTGGCGAGAGATTGGCCCAGCTCCCTTCAGGGACTCGAGCCTTCTGGTCTCTCGCCAAAGCTGTCCAAGGGAATTTTTGTCAGCCCGCCATTCCGCCACCGCACAGGGAGGATGACTCTCTGGCCCACACTGCGAAGGAGAACGCCGACCTTTTGGGCTGTCTCTTCGCGTCCAACTCGACTTTGGATGACCAAGGAAGATCACCACCGACCATTTCGCGGTGTGATTCTTCGATGCCGGAAATCACATTCCGGCAACGTGCTGTCCGCAAAGCATTCATAAGTCGAGCGGGCCGGATGGTATCCCCCCAATTGTGCTGCGTACTTGTGCTCTTGAGTTGGCTCCGGTCTTAACGCGCCTTTTCCGGTACCTGTACTCGCTCGGCACTGTCCCGAAGTGCTGGAAGACCGCTTTGATACACCCGATCCCTAAAAAAGGCGATCGCTCTGATCCGTCCAACTATCGCCCAATAGCTATAACCTCCTTGTTCTCCAAAATAATGGAAACCATTATTAATTGCCAGCTCTTGTGGTATCTAGAGGGCCACCAGTTGATTAGCGATTCTCAGTACGGCTTTCGTCGTGGTCGCTCAGCTGGTGACCTCCTTGTATACCTTACTCATAGGTGGGCAGAGGCAATTGAGGCCAAGGGGGAGGCGCTGGCGGTAAGTTTGGACATAGCGAAAGCCTTCGATCGGGTGTGGCACAGAGCACTGCTCTCGAAGCTTCCAGCCTATGGGCTTCCCGAGAAATTATGCGATTGGATCTCCAGCTTTCTGTGCCGATCGGAGCATCAAGGTCGTCATTGACGGAGCATGTTCCGACCTTAAACCTGTGAACGCTGGGGTCCCACAAGGCTGTGTTCTATCCCCGACCCTATTTCTTTTGCATATCAATGATATGTTGCAACTTAGCAACATTCATTGCTATACGGATGACAGCACTGGGGATACTTTTTACACTGGCCGGGCAGGTATTTCTCGGGCAGTTGTTGATGAGTACCGGAACAAACTTGTGTCTGAAGTCGAAACTCTACTACGTGGAGTCTCAGACTGGGGCAGACAAAACCTAGTCCAATTTAACCACAAGAAGACACAAGTTTGCGCGTTTTCCGCTAAAAAAACACCCTTTGTCGCTACTCCTCTTTTTGAAAACCCTCTTCTTAAAGCCACAGCCAGCATTGGAATACTTGGCGTTGACATATCGAACGACGTTCAGTTTCGCGGTCACTTGGAGGGAAAGGCTAAATTAGCCTCCAAAAAGCTTGGTGTGCTCAGCAAGGCGAGGCGGTACTTCACTCCGGGCCACCGCATGCAACTATATAAAGCGCAAATTCGGCCCCACATGGAGTACTGCTCTCACCTCTGGGCGGGGGCTCCCCAGTACCAGCTCCTTCCACTTGACCGTATACAACGCAGAGCGGTTCGAATCGTCGACGACCAATCCCTCTCCGAGCGGCTTGATCCTTTGGCGTTGCGTAGAGATGTGGGGTCACTCTGCATCTTCTACCGCATTTACCATGGAGAGTGTTCAGAGGAGTTGTTCGGATTAATACCTGCAGCTGAGTTTCATCATCGGACGTCGAGACAGAATACGAAATTCCACTCGTATCACCTCGACGTCCGCCGTTCCACAACTGAGCGTTTTTCAAGGCAGTTTTTGCCGCGCACCACCACTATGTGGAATCAGCTGCCCACTGAAGTATTTCCGAACCAATTCGACTTAGGGTCCTTCAAGAAAAGAGCGTACCAATTCTTAAAAGGCCGGCAACGCACTCGCGAGCCCTCTGGCATTGAGAGTGTCCATGGGCGGCGGTATCACTTAACATCAGGTGAGCCTCCTGCCCGTTTGCCCCCCGTTCTATAAAAAAAAAAAATATATATTTAGAAAATACCTAAGAATATAGGAAATGATCTAGCAAACCTTTTGTCAGTTCACTCACAGGTCCGTTAACCTAAGTTCATTAAGTATTTAAATGTTTCATGTGCCAAAGGGCAGCTAAAACTAACCTTTTGAAAAGTCAAAAGGTTAGGTTTAGTTCACGGCAGGCACTGCCGGGTTGCTTTCCTCTCCACGTATCAATTTTATGAGATAAATCGCACTCTGAGCTCGCTGTAATACAATCTTATTTATAAACACTTTAAGATAGCTGTTCATTACAATTATTTAATATAAAACCCTAAAGGCTTTAACCATGTGACTATATTTTATGTAAGTAACCATGTTTTTCTGATGATTTAACAAGCGTGTGTCCTTTGTAAGAAATATTATTTACTTGCAGCTATATCTGTAAGGGATCGTTGGGTGAACATCAGAAGCACTTTCAATCACAATCTACGAAAAGTTCTAAAGTTTCAGGAAACAGCAAAATGTCCTGAAGAAGTGTACACTGAAGTACAAATTTTATTTTTATTATAGTGAAAACAACAGCATTCAATGAAAGGCTGTTTAATCCTTTTTTTATAAACTCTACCCTCGAAAAAATTATAAAATTTAAATACGGACGACACGATAAAAAATCATGTGATCTATATTACACAAATTTAACTAACTATAAATCGAGATTAATTAAGAGAATTTGCAAAGTTGTGTATCGTAACGGAATATGAAGAGGCCTCCAGTAATTGGGTACACCACGAAGTAATTTAATATCCTGTTTCGCGAAACATCACAATTTTGTTATACACTTTACAATAAATCTTGTGAGAGAAGTTGTACCACAAAGAACGGTTCGGTGGCCGTCGATACACAATTCATATTAAAATAATAAGTCCTGAGTACATACCTCGTCAATGTCTCGTTACAGGAAACTATATAAATAACTAGCGACCCGCCCCGACTTCGCACGGGTGCAATGCTGATACTAAATACACTACAGAAAAACTGTGAACGTTGTCATGGCGTCTTGCGATTTTTCGTGTAAATATCGAGGTCCATCTGTGAATGATGAAGGTAGTATAACCAACTGCCCAATGCCGTTGCGGTGTTCATTCGCCTGCAAAGCATCCCGAAGATGAACGTAATTTTCAGCTCTCAATTTAGTTTGATTATTACGGATGTAGGCCAATCTCTCAGATTAAATTTTCGCATATTGATCTACCAAGTACCTATTGGTTTGTTAACATTCCATATCTAAGCAAAGTATTGAAATTGTTACGTCTTGTCATTATACGGTAGCAATAGTAGTTCATACATGACACTGTTTTACGCAGAGGTGTGCCACCGATTGGGTTAACTTGAGAAATATTAATGGCATAACCATTTTCTCCACGACATAGCATCAAAGGATATTGTAAGCTGTCATAAGACCTGTGTAACTCTGAAATTTTTTGCAAATTATCATCACGACTATGCAATACAATATCTCTTTTGTCAAATTGCTGTCCAGCTATCACCACTGCTACTTCACTCGTGGAAGGCGCATTGTATCGTCCTCTGTGTTCTCCAACAGGAACTTTATTTGCATGGATTACGACATTAAAGTCAGGATTATCTGCTGGAACACTCTCAATCGCAGTTTTGAAAGACTGTATGTAGCAATTATGAGAATGTAACATATCTTGGAGAGATCTAATCAAATCTCTATCAATTGGCTGTGCAACACTTGTGAAGTGGTAGCAAGCTCCCAGCTAAGTGGTACACTTGCCCTTGAATTTTAAATGTAGGCATGAACCCACGCTCAACGACTTGCTTACTCTTAAAAGAGGTCATTTGAAATGCGTTATTATAACGGCGTATATTGCGCATGAATTGCTTGGATTTCTGATGATCACCCGTAAGAAGAGAGTGAAGTGGTTCAGGTGGAAGGAGAACTTCTTCTAATTTGACTTTTCCTTGTAAGCAACACATGCCTTTCGATTCGTCCTTGAGTTTCAATGCCAAGCAATGTTCACACACTACTGACATAGTACCTATTGATACTATACGATCGTCCTTGTAAGAAATCGAAGGATCGTAATTCATGGCAGAATTTTCTTTATTCACCCATGAATTAGTAACTCGTGCTGATGATTCTCTGGCTCTCTATTCGATGTCTTTCCCTATCTCGGCTGCGGTGAACCTCACGCTCTACTAAAGATTCTCTCTCTCTCTCAGCTCTATATCTATCCCGAAGCTGTCTGAGTTTTAAACTACTATCATACAATAATTTATCGTAACTTACTTATAATTATTGATACGTTGTCGCGCTGAAAAGCACGTTTTTATAATAAACGCGTCCGATCGCTGCTAAATTCAAAGTGCTAAAGGGAAAACCGCGGCCGCAAACGCTACGTCCCGCAATTTTTAAATCTGTAATATCTTCGAAAATATTCACTTAAATCATACGGTGTAAAATGCCATATAGATCTATATTAAATGAACAATGTATTCAAGGTAAATTGGTTAAGGATTAATGCTGTATTGGTTAAAATCGCTTCGAAAATTAGCCATTATTTGTCGTAAAAAGTAAATGACAATAAAAGTTATTGTGGGTTATCCATAAGAGATAGACATATACCATCACGGACTTTTCTGTAGACCTTTTCAATGTGGACAATACTTAGTACATTATTTTGATAAAACTCGTAGGGTTCGGGCTGCGTTGCTGCAATGTAAGCGGAAAAAATGTAATTATTTACGACATCACATTAGAAAACTCAAAAATAACAGTACTTCTCCAACATTTAATGGATGTTTTTATACATATAAACCTTCCCCTTAAATCATTTTATCTATTAAAAAAAACCGAATCAAAATCCGTTATGTAGTTTCAAAGATTTAAGCATACAAAGGGACATAGGGACAGAGAAAGCGACTTTGTTTTATGCTATAAATAATAAAACTTATGTGATCTCAACGATGTATATATTTTCGTAAAAATAAACCGCGGCGTCTGCAGCGAGTTGCACGTGTGTCGCTTAAGAAATCGTGGGCCGTACTGTTGGCGGAGCGCGCTGTGGAATGCGCGTGCCTCGCCCCCCCGCCTGCCGCGGAGAACAATAGACACGGTCTATACGTAGAAGTTGGTAAGTACATTTTTAATAATTTAATTTTTAGTAATTTTTATTGATGTTTTATTTCAGCTACCAATGACGACGAGGACGCCACATCACTCCCCTGCCGAGACCGTTTCACGGTCGATAGTAGTCCGGAAACTTAACTAATCTTCCACTTCTAGTCTTTTTTTCAGGTGGCGTTGCATCGTGATTGGTGTGGAGCGGCAGTGCGGTCATCGGTGGACGAATGGTCGTGTCGTATTCTCTGTTTTCTTTTGTAAGGTAAGCTGGTTTTATTCTGTCTATTGTTACTGTAACTTCTTTGCCTTTTATGTCTAATGAAAATGTTTTTGTATTTCTTTTCAGAACTTTATATGGGCCGGTATATGGTGATTCAAGCGATCGTTTTGCGGGACCACGGCGAAGAAAAACAAACTGTGCAGTATGTATGTCATTCGGCAAATAGAATGTTTTACTGTTGTGATTTGATGCAGGAGTTGGGGTTAATGCTGCAATATGATTTCTCAAGCGAGCTGTATAGTCTGCTGGATTTAGGTTCTGGTCAAGCGAAGTTGAGAAAAATTGTCCCGGTAGTCGTAGTGGTTCTCCATATACTAGCTCGGCGGCTGATGCCTGCAGATCTTTTTTCCAGGCAGCTCTTATTCCTAGTAGCACTAGGGGAAGTGTTTCAGTCCACTGTGGGTTGTTGTGACAGATGATGGCTGCTTTTAGTTGGCGATGTAATCTCTCCACTATTCCATTGCATTGCGGATGGTATGAGGTGGTGGGACGATGTTCTGCGCCGATCAGGTTGGTGATGCTTTGGAAGAGTTGTGATTGAAATTGTAAGCCTCCGTCTGTTGTTACAGTTTGTGGACATCCATGACGAGATACCCAGTTGGTAATGAACGCGGAAGCACAAGTTTCTGCTGTAATATCCGCTAGTGGATAGCCATCAGGCCAACGTGTGAAGCGGTCTATTGCTGTCAGGCAGTATCTAAAGCCATTAGAGTATGGTAATGGGCCTATAATGTCCAGGTGTACGTGGGCGAAACGTTCTGATGGTACTGGAAAGGTTGTAAATGGTGCGTTCGTATGTCTGTTGACTTTATTTCGTTGGCAGTCTACGCATTCCTTTGCCCAAGTTTTGCAATCGCGTCTTACTCCGGGCCACACAAATCTTTGAGCTACCATTTTAGCAGTGGTAGGGCCGCTGGGATGGCTGAGTTGATGTATGGTTTCAAAAACGCGTTTGCGATAGGCAGGTGTTATGTACGGTCTAGGCGATTTGGTAGAAAAATCGCAGTACAGCTGGTTTTCAGCGATCTGTTTCAGTTGTAGTGCTGTGTTTTTGGTTAGCAAAGCTTGCAATTCAGGGTCTTGAGCCTGATCTCTTGCAAGTGCGTCGTAATTTATAGTGACAATCTCTTCTACACGTGATAGGGCGTCAGCGACGATGTTGTCTTTACCGGGGATATATTTTAGATCGGTGGTGAATTGAGATATATAGTCAAGATAGCGGAATTGTCTTGGAGAGCACTGGCTTCTGTTTGTTGTGAAGGCGTAGGTGATGGGCTTGTGGTCGGTGTAAATGCAAAAGTTTCTTGCTTCCAACATATATTTAAAGTGTTTGATACCTTCGTAAATGGCCAGTAGCTCCCTATCGTATGGACTATATTTTTTTTTGCGATGTCGTCAGTTTACGAGAGAAAAATCCCAAGGGTTCCCAGTTGCCTTTTCGTTTTTGTTGCAGGACAGCGCCGATGGAGTCGTCTGAAGCATCTGTGAATAAGGCTAGATCCAGGTTGATTTCAGGGTGGACAAGAAGAGTGGCTTGAGATAGGCTGCGCTTGCACTCATTGAAAGCTGTTACAAGGTTAGTCATATCGATAGGTGCATTTCCTTTGATGTTACCTGTTAGGGCATCGTTCAGAGGAGCCTGTATCTTTGCTGCATCAGGGATGAATTTCCGGTAGTAGTTTATCATTCCCAGGAATCGTCGGAGTTGTTTTGCTGTTTTCGGCTGTGGGTAGTTGGTAATTGCTTCCACTTTCTCTTTGAGGGGGCGTATGCCTTCAGTCGAGACGCTGTAGCCGAGGAAAGTTACTTCGTTAATGCCGAATACGGACTTAGAGGTGTTTATTAAGATGCCATACTGGTTAAGTCGTTCGAAGACAGTTTTAAGGTGCTGAAGATGGAGTTCTCTGGTCTTCGAGAATACTAGGATGTCGTCAATATACCCATATGTAAATTCCAGCCCTTGAAGAACTTCATCGATGAATCTTTGGAAGGTTTGAGCAGCGTTTCTTAAACCAAAGGTCATATACGGAAATTCGAACAGTCCGAATGGTGTCGTTATGGCTGTTTTAGGTATGTCCTCATTCGCGACAGGTATCTGATTGTAGGCCTCAATCAGGTCAATCTTTGAAAATATTTTAGCTCCAGACAGCTGGTAAACAAAGTCATTAATCTGTCTTATTGGATATCGATCAGGGATGGTTCTGGCATTAAGTGCTCTATAGTCGCCGCATGGTCTCCAACCGTCGTCCTTCTTTTTGGCTAAATGTAAGGGAGACGACCATGGGCTCTCTGATCTACGAGCTGTTCCATTTGCGTACATCTCTTCAAACTCTTTTTTCGCAATAAGCAGTCTATCTGGGGCTAAACGTCTGGGACGAGCTGCGAATGGTGGACCAGGGGTAGTACGTATATGATGCTTCGTTTGGCTTTCCAGTAGGTTTCGTTACATCTGGGTAGTTGCGAAGTAAGTCGTGGAAGTCGGAGTTTCCAGCAACTGTTTCCACAGAAATGTTGGCGCAGCGTGGCGCGTTGACGGACAAACTTGTGAGGCCGTCGATGAGGCGGTGACGACGACAGTCCACTAATAGGTTGTATTGGCCCAAGAAGTCAACACCAATGATGGGTCGTGTGACGTCCGCAACTACGAATCTCCAGGTGAAGTCCCGGCGAAGTCCGAGGTCCAGGTGTAAGGATATGTAGCCATACGTAGCTATGATAGTGTTGTTGGCAGCGTATAACTCATATTTAGTTTTATGACGCTGGTCTCTGGTCGCCGACTTAGGAAAAACGCAAACGTCAGATCCCGTGTCTATCAAGTACTTCAGTTTAGTTTTCTTTTCGACGATGAAGAGGCGGTCATTAGGAGTATGCGTAAGGCAGTCGTTAGCCGCCACTACAGGCTGCCGTTCGCGTTTAAAGTCTTGTAGGAACAGGGCGTGAGACATTTTATGGCGTTTTCACCGAATTTTCTGTGGTAGTAACACACGCTATTCATTTTGTTTTCCTTCCATCTTTGGGTGGAGCGTGAGTGAGATCTTGATCTGTTATACCTACGTTGTGGTGATCTGCTTGATCGGCTATTATGCATGCTCAGGGAAGCAACTTGCTTGGTTAATTCGTTAACTTGCCTGGCCAAGCTTTCTAAAACGGTGAGGTAGGGGTCTGGAGGATTTTCAGCATGTTGGTTAGCTGAGGACGATGTAGCGGCGTAAACATTAGGTGGGGTTGGGGCTGCGATGGCTATAATTTTGCCAGCCAACTCTGCAAGTTTCTCTAGCGGCATATCCATATGCGATGCAATGATAGGTTGAATGTTATTGGGTAACCTATTGTGCCATGCTGATCTAATAAATTCGTCTGGTACCTGTGGTCCGGCCAAATGTTGTAGGTGACGAAGAAATTGTGAAGGCTTTCTAGTGCCGAGTTCTTGATTGTCTAAAAATTGCCTAATTTCTTCTTCGCGCGGTTTACTTAATCGCCTTATTAGCTCCGCTTTGAGTGTTTGGTATTTGTTGTCTTTGGGAGGACTTTCTATAATATCCGCAACTTCAATAGCGAACTGTGGGTCCAGCTGGCTAGTCGCATTATAAAATTTAGTCGTGTCTGACGTTATCCCCGCCAAACAAAATTGGCCTTCCAGTTGAGCAAACCAGAGTGCAGGTCTATTCGGTAAAAATGGTGGTATTTTAATTCCAACTTTGAAAATTTCATGTGCACCTTTTTCCATATTGTCCGTGTCCCCACCGTTTTCGTCTTGCATGGCAAAAGTGCTAAGACCGCGTGTCGTGTAGTTTTTTCTTACTCTTATCACGTCGGGGTCACCAGTATAGTGTTCGCGTTGTCGTATAAACACTATATAAATAATAAAACTTATGTGATCTCAACGATGTATATATTTTCGTAAAAATAAACCGCGGCGTCGGCAACGAGTTGCACGTGTGTCGCTTAAGAAATCGTGGGCCGTACTGGTGGCGGAGCGCGCTGTGGAATGCGCGTGCCTCGCCCCCCCGCCTGCCGCGGAGAACAATAGACACGGTCTATACGTAGAAGTTGGTAAGTACATTTTTAATAATTTAATTTTTAGTAATTTTTATTGATGTTTTATTTCAGCTACCAATGACGACGAGGACGCCACAATGTTATCAGCCGTAAGGATTTGGAATTAGTTTTAGTATGGGCACAAAGAGAGGTTAGACTGATGATAATTGATACCTTGCCTCACAATAGTTCTTAAACATGCACTAAACACTCACTATACAATTTTAAATAGTGGACGTATCTATAATTAACAAAAAGTACATGTGTACTATCCAAATAAAAAATGCTAGATGCACGAGAACACGTAACCCGAATGAAGCTCAACAAAAAACTAACAAAAAAATGTGTCGATCGGCCGTGTAATAATATTTGGCATCACCCTCATCAAATTTAATAAAATTTATAATGTATTTCGAACAGTCCCCCGTCCCAGTCAGGCGCAACATGACTGAGTCCAAAACCGGAGGCTGGGAGCAAAGTTTATGCCACTGGGAGACGTAACAAGCCCGCCACGGCTCTTTTTAAAACCGATTCCCGAACGACAAGAGAAATAACTCTTAATCCCGGAAGAGGCTCAACAAGTTCCGTTTTAGTGTGAGGCCAGCAACTCTCGGGTTGGTACAGCCAACCTGGAGCCCACCACAAGGGATGGTCTAATATTACTGGAGCCTCACAACCTCGAGATGCACAGTCTGCCGGATTAAGTCCTCCCGGTACATGCCTCCAAACTAATGTCACAACAGATTGCTGAATTTGACAAACCCGATTGACCACGAATACTTCCAGAACATGAACTGACGCTTGCAACCATGCAAGAACTATCTGGCTATCAGTCCAAGCAAAACACTTCTGGATATTCATATTTTGGCCAAAAATGGATTTAACATGGTTTATCAAACGTGTTAATAGAACAGCACCTGATAACTCTAATTTAGGAATTGTTAAGCGTGTTCTTACAGGTGCAACCTTACTTTTTGCCATAACCAGTTTAACCGTTACAACACCAGATTTATTGACAGAACGAATATAAACTGCAGCAGCATAACCACTTTCCGATGCATCACAAAAACCATGAATATCTACTGTGCATTTCCCTGGTGGCAATAAAGATCTATCAATTTTAATCAATTGAATTTCAGGAAGGGACGATACAAACCTAACCCAAACACTTTTGGGTTAGGTTTGTATCTGGACAACCCTGACGCTGTTGCAGTATTAGGTTTGATACTGAATACCTAATACTGCAACAGCGTCAGGGTTGTCCACGTTCTGAAAAATATAAGGATCTTGTTGATGATCCTCGGGTAAACCAGCAAGAACAGCTTGTGAGTTAGACACCCATTTCCTTAACTCATATCCAACAGCCTTAAGAATCCCAATTAGCTCGTTGCGTAGCATTAAAGTTTATTTCTCATTTGCAGCGCCGGTGCAAATGTCGTCAACGAAAACATCACTTGTCAAAACATCAGCTGCTCTTGGAAATTGCAAACGTTCCCGCTCAGCCAATTCTAATAATGTACGAATAGCAATATAAGGACTTGATCTGAGTCCATATGTATTGGTATTCAATTCAAATACTGTAACAGGATCGGATTCCTTCTCACGCCACAGGATAAGTTGATAGCAACGGTCATCAGTATGAATTACAGTTTGACTAAACATCATTTTAATATCTGCAACAAAAACGATCTGATGTCTTCTAAAATTTGTTAAAATATCACCAATGTCACGATGTAACTTTGGGCCCGAATGTAAACATTGATTTAAAGACTAACTTTAAAAACTCCATTGGAACTAGGCGCTGAGCCATCAAAAACTACTCTGATTTTACCACCTTTAAACACAGCATGATGTGGGATAAAGTAGTGCTCCTGTGTACGCCAATCAAAATCAGAAACTGACATATGTCCGAGCTTAAAGTACTCTTCCATAAACTCAATATACTTAGCACGAAAAGTCGAATCTCTCTTCATTCGTCTCTCCATGGATGTTAACCTTTTCTCAGCTAAAGTCCTGGAGTGACCCAAAAGAGGTCGGGATGGTAAGAAAGGTAACCGCGTGACAAACCTACCTGAACGGAGACGACCAGTGTTGTTCTGAAAGAACAATTCACATTCTTGGTGCTCCGGGTTTTCACAAGCCGCTGTGGGAGGCTCTTCGACTTCCCAAAACCGTTGAATAGCTTCAGCAGGTGAGAGTCCCACACACAAGTTACCATCTTCAACTGTAAGAGACTGTATTGGAAACACAGGACCCATAATGACATCACCAAAATCAGATGTAACTGCTACTAAGCCCCCTGGTTGTAAAAGTGTGCTTTTACTTAGTCGCAGCATGCCTAAAACTTCTGCTCCGAGTAGCAAATCAATTTGACCTGGAATATGAAATGTACAATCCGCTAAGTTAAGACTACATGTAAAATCTAATATCTCCGATGGTAATTTAACAAGTGGGTGTCTGCCCATAACATTATCTAAAATAATGGCAGAAGTTGTAATCTGTGGATGAGAGCATTGAACAGAAGAAAAAGTTAGTGTAACTTGTCCACGCAAACCAGGAACCTTAAGACCACCTACACCAAATATACCCCCGCTAATAGGCGAATAGAACTGTAACCTGTCCACCAAATCCATTGACACCAAACTTCCCTGTGCTCCAGAATCCAAAATCGCACGCGTGGTTACTTGCTCACCTGATGGAGAACCAACACAAACCTGTGCGGTGGGTAACAAAACAGTAATGGGAGATGTAGGAGTTCTAGTGGGAACGTGACCTAGTCAATATTCTTCTGGTTCAGGGACCCGCTGGCCTAAACGAGGCCACTCAGAAAAAGGCAAAGGCCTAACAAAATCACGACGTTGCTGTTCAATAACAGGTGATGCACAAGAGTCATAATTATCCTTGCTCTTAGGAAGTTGTTGCTGATCAGAGGTGACACGAGGCCTGTTATGAGACCTTAAGTTTCCCCCGCCCCTGGAGGGTGGTGGCCGCCTCCGATGGTAATTATCGTAACCGGATTCTGTATGGTGCCTGGAAGTATGACCAAAAGTACGGGGTCTAACCTGCACACCACCAGTCCACTGATCACCTGTATTTTGAATGGCTTCAACAAACTCCCGTGCCAGTGCAGCTGATTGGGGTGAACCATTCGCATTACCGCAAAGTATAATGTGATGATTGCCATTACATTGTTTGCATGGTCGTGACACTTGGCATTGTGATGCCAGGTGATTACCTAAACAACCATAACACCACTTCCGCTGTCTGGCAATATTACGTCGTGCTTGAAAACGTAATGCCAAAAACTTTTGACATGACACCACGGTGTGATCAGGGACTCGACAATAAACACAACGTTTGCCCGGATGTTGAGTTGCCACGTTATAAACTCGCTGGTCAGGGCGTTATACTAAGCGCATATGCTGTTGTCGCGGCCCATTAGAAATTGGGGCCGGCGATGTGGACGGCGCTGGAACATTATCCTGTCTGCGACACTCATCCTCTAAAAACAATATCAATTCATCAAACGAGGGAAGATGAGTGGATGAATCTCCACCATACGCCTGTTCAAATCGGGTGCGCATGTCTTAATTTAGTTTTTGTAACGTTATATGCAACAAAATAAAAGACCAACTATCTACAGGTAAATTTAAACCCCTTAAGGCATTAATTGCCGCTAATAAAGGATTCAAAACTTGAATTCTTAAGTTGTGGCTCTGCACGTTACTCTGTAAATTTAATATGACATCTACGTGGCTATCCGCCAGCTTACGTATGTTTTGATAACGCCGCATAAGTAAATCTCTAGCTATATCATAATTATTGTCCACAAGTACTAAATGTTGGACTAACCCTTTAGCCTCCCCAGTGAGACTAGCCAACAAATATGCCAACTTTTGAGCAGATGTTAAATCAAATCTTGAGTGCACTAAACTATCAAATAAATGTATAAACGCCACCCATTGGCTTAAATCGCCACTAAAATGGGGCAAATCTAGTTTGGGTAACCTACCTATAATACCACTTGAAAAAGTTAAACTATCCTTCGATTGAAGGTTATTTGACTGATTAACCGAAGATTTAATAATCCCAATGGCTTCCTAATTTGATCAGCCAAATCCTCAGCCTGATCCATGTCTGCAGAAACCTTGTCCATCACCTCCGGTTCTAAACCCAACTCAAGTAATGCCTGATACGATTTATATAAATCTTTCATTCTATCCTCTAACGCGTCACATCTTGATAGAAGCGCCTGAACGCGATCTTTTCGCGAAATATTTAAAACGGCCGATCCTAGCCACCGTAATACACCAGCTATTTGTGCCTTGTGCGAGACCGCCATTATAAAAGTATATGAATACAAACAATAGCACAAAAAATTTAAGAAAAAAATAAATAATAATAAATGGCGAATATAACTAATTACAAAAAACGATTTAAAACACTATTTAAAAAAAACGATAATCCCTACAAACAAAAAAAAAATAAATACATTAATAAGTTATGAACCCAGGACTTATACTACCGAACAATTATTTACTAAAATGTAACCACGCTCTGCTACCAAAAAATTATGTACCACAAAGAACGGTTCGGTGGCCGTCGATACACAATTCATATTAAAATAATAAGTCCTGAGTACATACCTCGTCAATGTCTCCTTACAGGAAGATAGGCACACAATGTTATCAGCCGTAAGGATTTGGAATTAGTTTTAGTATGGGCACAAAGAGAGGTTAGACTGATGATAATTGATACCTTGCCTCACAATAGTTCTTAAACACGCACTAAACACTCACTATACAATTTTAAATAGTGGACGTATCTATAATTAACAAAAAGTACATGTGTACTATCCAAATAAAAAATTCTAGATGCACGAGAACACGTAACCCGAATGAAGCTCAACAAAAAACTAACAAAAAAATGTGTCGATCGGCCGTGTAATAATATTTGGCATCACCCTCATCAAATTTAATAAAATTTATAATGTATTTCGAACAGAAGTTTTGGTAAGAAAATATTGGTATTAATTTCAAATTGCCTTTAATAAAAGAAATATAGCGAATGGTAATTAAATTAATAAACTTCGGTACTTTCCACCCGGCAAAACAGTTTTATTCCATTTAAGATTAATTATGATCCAACAAATTAACTTATGAATAATAATGTCAAGAAAAACCAATTTGATTTCAAAATCAAATGTTAGCGAAAAAAAAAACTAACATATTAAAGATCGTGAAGATCTTTAAATTATATCTTTCGGTCTTAACTACAATTTTTTTAATTCCCTTAATTTTTGCGTAACTTTTTATTAATAAATTGCAAAAGAATATAATAGAATTTATTTAATGAATATTTAGTTAACTAAACACTAAACAGTTTAACGGCGAGATTGAATTAAAGGCGACAATTAAACACTGCAAGTGTTCACCAATTGTAAAGTGTAACGAACCGGTCGATAGGGTTGTGACACGATTCTAAAATCACTAAATAACATGTGCTATGAATCAATTTTTATGAATCTTGTGAATAACATTTGTTTGATGTAATGTGGCCAAACTATTATTAAAAAAATATGATTGTCAATCTAATCCTTGAAACCCCTACTAATAAAACTAAATTCTATCACTATTCCTTTTTTTTTTTTTAGATTTAACTTATTTTTTTATAGTTAGTGTTAGATACATGTTATTTTATGTTCTTTTTTGTTAATTATTTATACACTTCTTGTACAAGTAGGGTTAAGTAGTTACCCTCTGTAGGGGTTTTGCCTGGTTGATTGCCTGGAAAAGTCGCTTGTTAGCGATAAGGCTGCCCCTAATAACCTGCCTTTTTATATGTATGTTTTTGAATCCGTACAATCCGAGCACCTTATCCGCATTAGTGTCAACTTTGAAATGTTTTCCATAGGAAGTACCTACCCTTTAGAGATCGATTGGTGACGATAACAATGACCTTGGTGTACGAAAATAGCGGTTTTCGCATAAATCACCTGCGTACATACATTTTATATTAAATTTATTTTTCTGTTCGGAAGTGCGTTACAAAATAACTTTATTAATTTCCTTCATATTTCTAAAGGATAACGACTGCTAATCACGGACAAATCTTGTAGTTTTTGTCGAGTATTAAGTAAAATTTGCCTGATGCTTGCATGTAGAAAAAAATATTTCTTCAAATCTTTTTTTTACATTGTGGGCACAAATTAACTCACTTGTTTAAACATAGACATAAAATTTATTCCTAACAAAACACACACAGAAACACTCAAAATAACAATGTAATGTGTGTGTGCTGTGGTTTTAACTGGCCCTGGCTCAGCATTATGCTGAGGAGCAGCACTGCTCCACAGCAATGGTCATTCTGCCAGAGATTCTGTTTACTGTTGCTTGTAAACAAAGCCTCGTAAAGCCAGGGTCTTATAATATATATACCATTTATTTTATGTATGTTTTCCAAGTCAAGGCATACCTTGAGTGTAAGAGTATTCCAAGTTATGATTTGGAATAATCTTGACTCGAGTTCCTTGGTTGATCGAAGCGAAGTGGGATCCAACATAGCCTTTTGCATTGTAATATGCACCTTAATAGCAAAGGCATATAAACGCAATTACAATTCACGTGAAAGTGGAAGTATGTGACGATCATCAGCTCAATACTACAAGAGAAAAAACCTCTATGTTCTTAGTTACGAAAACTTTTATTCAATAGCTAACGACGCGGACCTGTTCAAAGCTGAAATCGAACCTGTCACTCTGACGATAAAGAAGAAAGAAGTGAAAGTGGAAGTAGACGAACATCCTCGTCCGCAGACCACTTTGGAGTCACTTAAGAAACTGCCGCCTGTGTTTAAAAAGGAAGGATTGGTCGCTGCCGGATCAGCCTCGGTAAGATTTAAGTAGTCAGGACTAAATAGGTTTTTGTGGAGTAGTATAAATATACATGTCGCAGCCAACTAGATTAATTAGCCGTTCAATTAACAGCCTAGCCGTTTAACTAAGGTGCCGTTTAACTAGCGGCCTGAAAGAAGTTCAGCCAGTTGATTAAACAGGCAAATGACTTGGATCGATGACGATTCATTACTTGCCTAGCCTGTTGACTGTTAGTTTAAATTTAATCCCACTTTCTGCCACTCTCAAACTCGAAACGAAAGTCTTCAAACTGTCAATATGGCGTCGGCAAACCACAACTTTGATGGTGTTTTCCAAATTTTCATGAAAAACAACAAGTACAGTGGAAGAGTGTAGTGACAATAATGTGAATTTGACTTAAGCTATTTCATTTTAAAGGAAATATGTTTTATATCACTTGGGGATTCAAAGGCCTTAGCGTGGGCTACGACTTTAAAATGTCAAAACTCAATACAGTTTTGGCTTATGGGAGTCTCCTTTCTAAATAGCCTTAGATGCATTGGGGGCAGGTCTCTCTGCCATTTTTTTAGCCCTTTGTCAACATCATAAACGGTCAATAGATAAGTTGACACGTTTTATAATATATCCAGGGTATTAGTGACGGAGCTGGTGCCTTGGTCTTAGCCAGTGAAGGGGCAACTAAGAACCTCAAGCCTCTCGCTAGGCTGGTTGGGTGGTCTTACGTTGGAGTAGACCCTAGTATCATGGGTTTGGGACCCGTTCCTGCTATCGAAAACCTACTTAAGGTCACCAAATTGTCTCTGAATGATGTAGACCTAATTGAGGTAAGAATTTTTAAATTTATATGTGAATCTTTAATATTGTGTCAACCTGGTTGTAAATAGACATATTTAATTTCTTAGTCATGGAAATATTTACTTAATAAAATCTATATTTATGAAGATTATTTAATGATCTATTAGGTTTTTATGTAAATTAAAATCAAAAGATATTTGTTCTATTTTATATTTATTTTTTACTTTTAAATTTCTCTAATGTCACATTTTCAGGAAAAAAAAAAAAAACGACGTAATATAGGTGCGGCAAATACGCGTTAGAGTGAGACAGACTATATAGGCGTTTTAGTCTGAGTCTGGTAGAGTGGTAGATTGAAATAATATCAAAGAAAAACAAAATATACTGCATAAATAAATAATTATAACTGCATAAGTTGATAAAAAAAAATGCTGTGCAATAGCTTTACCGCGGCAGTCCCCGATTGCCGTTTGAAGTTTTTTTTTATAAGTAAATCAAATAATATTAAACAATATCTTTGAGGTAGTTATTACCAGTTATATAATGAACAAGTTAGATATTAAAACTATTCATATATCATCAAAATGGCGTATATTTTGCGATAAAGTTTTTAACGACAATAATCGCTGGAATTCAGGAATTTTAGTCAAGTTGTACGGTCTTCCTTTTTTCTTCGCTGACCTGATCACTTCAGCGTACTGGTTTGGCACATAAACAGGCCCAGATTTTAACCTTTTCTGTATCTGTTTTTCAATGGTAGAATGGACAGCAACACCTTCATTATGTGTATGTCCGGTTACCAGAAACTTAAGAGATATACTTTTAATACTTACACAGGAAAAACTAATATAACGATAAAATAAATCTGTTTTTGTTTTTGTTTGGTCTATGTGCTGTATATAGATTAAAAGCTGGTTAAATTGTTGACAGATTTCAGATGCGCTTCTACCCAACGAAGTGACATAACAGTCGTATAATTAACATTATCAAATGTTTATATAAGACACTTCATACGTAACTCAAAAATCAAGCCAATAGCTTCATTGTGTAAACGAAAACTGTCCCATAAAGGTTTTATTTTAAATACGTGAAGATGCTAATGGAGCTAATTGAAATTCACAATTTTTTAGGTTTTCGATATAAAAAACAATTTTGTCGTTAACGAATTTTGCAATACATTTTACTTAACATTCCAACCATCATTAACAACTATCAGTTCAAAAAGTCATCTGTTTGCATATTAAACATTTCGACCTATTCCTTTATACAAGGTATTAAAGACTTCATTCCCATTACTTCGTTCAAAGTTATAATGAAACAATTTAATATTGAATTTTTATATGCCGACATCCTAACGCCGCAAATGCGCTACATTGAAGGAACTTAATCAATAAAGATCCATGCTTATCTTTCATTCATCTCAATATAATATTAGTATAGTGCATAGTAGAAAATTTTTATATATGTAACATAATAAATCATGATTTTGATACACGTTGTAGTAGAGATTCAAATGTCTGTTAGAGGTCGTTAGAAATATATACATATATTTGTAATACTGCCATTTAAAATATTTATTATCTGAAAAGGATTTAATTTATTGGAAATCCGTCGTTTCACTACTGTGGAAACACTATGTGGAACCCACTTAAATATTTCCTAAGTAATTCGACTTAGGGTCTTTTAATAGTGTACGATTTTCTTTATAGAACAGGGTGCAAATGGGCAGGAGATGTTCAGTGATCACCATGGACACTCAATAGCCAAGCTCAACACAAAATCAGCCCATGAGCTTGCGAGTGCGTTGTAGGCCTTTTAAGAATTGATTCGTGCTTTTCTTTAAGGAGTCTAATTCTTAAAAAGCCGGCTATGCACTCACGAGCCCTCTGGCATGGAGTGTCCAAGAGTGACGTATCACATTAGATGAGCTTTCTGTCCGTTTGCTATATTTCTAAAGGGTTTTTTTTTGGACGAAGGAAGTTGTATAAGAGTCCAATGTTCTTGAAAAATTAACAACTTTGTTTTTACTTGGCATGTTAGCATTTTGGATAATACATGTGGATGGCCAGTATAATACGCGAAATAGAACTAATTTTAGAGTACAACCAACGAGGCTCCAGAAGATAAACCACTCCTTATTTGGAAATTGTATTCGTTTTTACAACAAACCAAGGGAAATTAGAGAATTATCACTATATAAATTCAAAGCCCTCGTTAAACGTAAATTAACCAATGAAGCTTTTATAAATTTGACGAATACTTAAATTATCCTAATCCTTGGGATTGATTTGCTCCAGTTCAAACAATTTGTATGATCAATACTTGGCGATTAAAAAGAGTGGTGGAGAGTTTCTTGCCAGTTCTTCTTACCCGCTCTACGCCCTTGACTTGCGAACTTTTAGTAAATGTAAATTTACAATTAATTTAACTTGACAATTCGTAAGTGTACTTGTTTACCTATATGAATAAAGATATTTTGAGATTGAGTTTGATTCCATTACTTCAAGAGGTCGGTAAACAGGTCTTCTGAAAATAATTCGCTCGAGTAATTCGATGGCTTGGTAAACATTGTACCTAGTAACTTGCAACTCTTTTCATTCTTAATTGATTTTTAATGGATTTAAGGGACGGAATTCTGGTCAACTTTCGTTTGTTCAATGGTTTTAAAATGTTGTTTTTCTTTTCAGGTAAGTTCCAGTTTTTATTTATGGACAAAGGTAGGATGGATCTATGTGTCCTTCAAGAAATGCAGAAATAAAGGAGGGATAGTGTAAGTTAATGAAAGAATATTAATGATTTGTGATAGATAAGTTAGATTTTGATTAATCAATTATTTGTACCAGGAATGCATAATATGTAAGTAGCCTATTCTTACCGAATAGCCAAGCCATTTATTTATTTTATTGTAAATAAACTATTATTAAATTTAGCTTTTATACTATAACGAAAGTATTATTATAATTTGCAACTGTCATAAATGTCCGGCAATGGATGACGAGATTTCTGCCATACCGACGCGAATGCGTTGATTTAAAAAAAAAAACAACCATCTGTATCAGGCTAATTTTTGTACAGTTAATCATCGTCGTGCAGCTATTCACGAAAATCACCATGCCATACTTTTCGGACGGTTCCAAATGGCCGCGAGACCGCCGAAAATCAGCATTTTTTTTTGCTAAACGATTTGTACCAGCCTAAATTTTTTCTCCCGGCCTATAAGTGATACCGCCGCCCATGGACACTCACACTGCCAGAATGCTCGCAAGTGCGTTGCCGGCCTTGCAAGAATTTAATGAATAAAAGTTATAATCATAAATTTATCTTCCTTCCATAGATGCTAATTGCAGAGTAATAATGTAAACACACTGTGTAGTTAATATCGATAAAATGTATTGAAGGCTAGCTCCAGCTCCCCAGCCCAAAACCCCAAGTCCATTGATCATGGTGGTGTGACTGTCTGTGATCTTGCTATATTTTACAATTTTCTTTCGAAAAGATAAATTAAAGGCGAAAAAGCTTCCACAGCAGGTAAATGAACTATGTAATACAAATATACTCAAATGTATTTATGTGTAATGTATTAAATTTCAAAACAGCTAATTAAGGAAAGAGAATTTTATTAGAAGTAATAAAAAGGATGTTTAGTTAAAAGAGAAAGAGCACTAGCCCCCACAGTAGGATTCCATGTGTCGTGGGCAGCTAGACTCTTCCATTTGACATTTTAACGGAACTCGACGTAATAATTTATATATTACACTTCCAATTTTGTAATTAAAATACTCTTAACATCAAAAAATTAATCAAATTCGCGTGGTATTTCTTCAGTAAGGCTGTACGTTTCGCTATCATCGTAGGAACCATCATCTTTGAATCCAAGGCTTTTAAAAAACTTTTTTAAATCCTCAATATTGTAATTCACTTTTGATCCTTTCTTCGATGATTTCTTTTTAGCGTTATTATTACTTTGTTCATCTTCAAGATAGTTCAAATAGTCTACTAGATCTTTCGAGTCGTATTTCAAATTAGATATGGCCGTAAAATCAACTGAATCGGCATTCAAGGGCGTAGCTTCAACCCAATAGTAGATCAACGTCAACACGACTATTTTCTTTTGCATTTTGCGATACCTTTCGCAATTGAAATGACTTGAGTCACTGATATACATGTCCATTGTTTAGTTTATATATATATATTTATATTATATAGCTATTTAGTGGTCAAGGGTGTTTTTTTAAGATGTTCAGATTGGCGTTATGGTCTATTGATTGGTTAATCAATATGTCCAATTGCGTATCGATTGGTTCTAGCCAAGGATTTAGTTAAGAATCGGAATCTTACAGATATAACCTAAGATAGTTTATATTACGTACTCCAGATGTGTTTATGTTTTAACGGAGTTTGTAATTTCTTTAACCAGTGCCCAGGACTCAGAACTCAGGGGGGCCGGAAATCCGACAATTGAGTGATTCGAACATTCGTAGTACTTTATATTTTATGGTTATTGTGCCTCACTCGACATAGATAGGTATAGTGTGTCGCGGACTTTTTTGTAGATATTTATAAGATCTACAATTACTTAGAACATTTTATGGTTCTATCTTTAATAGTTTAGGCAGGGTACGCAAAATAAGTAACTTTTTTGGTTGATTTTTTACATCTTGTGTCCGAAAAACCCTAATATCTTACGGAACCCTATTTTTGTTCAAAATTAAATATAGCCTATATTACTCGTGGATAATGTAGCTTTCGAATGGTGAAATAATTTTTAAAATCGGTCCAGTAGTTTATGAGCCTATTCATTACAATCAAACAAACAAACAAAGTTTTCCTCTTTATAATATTAGTGTATATAGTGTAGATTTGTTTTCAGTCTGTGTTTAAGTTATTTGTTTGTTTATCATTATGTTAGGGCATTTCAAATATAATAAAGAAATTTAAAGGTAGGATCACCATTTCGAGATGACATCGACGGTCAAATTTTTCATAATTTACTTTCTCTACATTCCAAAAGATCTACAGCACAGTTTAAGACCTTTTACTTTCTAATAAAACAAACTATAATGATTAAGGGCTCCCACACAAAACTGCGATGCGATGCGAATTTCTGTGATACGATTTAGTGCGACAAACCGTTTGTTAGGGCGACCATTTCTTCGTAGTCAGCCGTACTGGACGTGTTTTTAGGATGCGTAAGATGGATCGCAAAACAATAATTGCACTGCTGTTATTGTAAAATAGATATAAAAGAAAAAGAAGATTCTGTGTTCATCCATTTATTACGATTATGAACTCTGATGCAAACTCTCACAGACGCTCTCCCACGCATCTTGCTTAATAAATTTATTTTTATAATGTTCATCACTTGTGTCCCAAAGGACGGGACGCTCCTCAATAAAAAATATTAAAAAATCCATATCATATTCCGCAATTTTTTATAAACAAAGAAGGTGGCGGAGGCGCCGCGCGTCTTTCTCTAAAGCTGTCTCAGAGCGGACTAAAATGGCGTCACCAAGAATGACGTAATATCGCAAGAATGTGCGATGCGAAGCAGATCGGAACTTCTTGCGGTGCGTTCGTGCGAATTCGCAGATATTTGCGATGCGATGCGAATTCGCAGTTTTGTGTGGGAGCCCTAATAGATATAATTACAAACATTTTATAACCTTTTATACCTAAATATTATAATTACATTTCTCAAATATAATACTTGTTATGCAATAATATTTATTTGGCCAATTAGTAGATATTATTATTATTCATTACCTCTCTGTGAAAATACTATATGCCATAATGGCATTGTAAAGGGGTGCATTTAACTTTAAGTAACTAAAACATTAGGCACAGATAGTGTGACTCCTTTAGATATGTTTTTATCCTAGATGTCTCGGAACTAAACGAAGAACGTTTATTTTTAAGCGTCCTCTATGCAATATGGCATCGGGCATTCATTTATTAAATATCACATAGGTATAGATTTTTACAAAATTATTAACTTATATAGTAACAATATTAATAATTAAAAATGGATAAATTTTGTTTTTGCAGACAACTAGGTGATCGGCCTTCTGTGCCTTATATTGTTTTTCATAACCTGTAAATTGCTTCATAATAACATTAAACAATAATGGTACAGACGTTTTGTATAGGATAACAATAATATTCTATAGTCTACTGTATACACTATATTATACGTTTTTTTTTAAGTTGATTAAAAAACAAGTCGATTGCTCTACAATTTACTTATATGAGTGAATAGACAATATTCAGGACCCTGGTGTGGGTTTTGAAGTCTTTAAAAAACCGAGGGTCCTCTACCTTCGGTTTTTTTTAATTTTATCAATTCGACATGTAATTTATTTAAGTAAGGATGGCCCGGGCCGCATCGGACCACCCCCCTAGACAAATCGGGATGATCGAGGTGCCAGATAATTCGGATTTGTTGCAAAAGTATTTAAAGAGAATCAAATCATTTCTGTCTTTGACGCTTTGTCCATAGATGAGGTTTACTTTGTCATCTTTGTGGTTTCATGAATAAAGCGACTTAAATAATATATTGTTTTATTTACATGTGTGCCCACAAAATTGATGGTAGGACAAAAGTCAAAAATAATTTATTCATATAGGTAACATAATGTACACTTATGACCGTCAAAAAAGAAATATACATTAAATGCTTCTAATTTTACATTTACTGCCAGTTCTCAAATCAAGGGCGTAGAAAGGAAGAGAAGAACTGGCAATAAACGTGAAACAAACAAACGTTTAGAACGTGGCCTGTAGTTACCATTATTTTTATGTGGTGATTTGATTATTTAGGGTTTTACTTTGCTCTAAAAAGAAAATTTAAGTTTAATATCGGATCTGGGTTCAATTTTCTCGTACATATTATCTAAACAGTATTAAATCTTGGGCGATTGACGTATGTACTGTATTTTAAATAGCCGCAATTTGAAAATTCAAATTTCGCTTTTTCAAAGGTTTCAAAGGCTACAGGTGATTTCTAATTAAATGAAACACATCATAGATTGCACAAAACATTTTAATATAAACTTAAAAAGTCGTACAACAATATGAAAAATTATTATTGACTAATTATATTTGCGGTTATGGAGATCCGCTATCTATATTATGCAAATATTATTCTATATTTAACACCTCATCGAATATAATTATCTTACAAAAGTATAGTACTAAAAAATCTCATTATACTAAGTTGTATATTATTATACTTACTTTATAAGATTTTATCTACAAAAAATACTGTAGCGTTTTGCTCAGTTTTTCAATCGAGCCCGCGTTAACGTAATAATAAGGTATTAATAAATTACTTTAATGGTTAAATTATACTACTACACTTAATCTAAATGAAAATATGAAAATCGTAAAAAAATAGTGCACATTTCCGTTTACAACTTTTCATTGTTGTGCTGTCAATAATTTTGGTTAGAAAAAAAAGAAACAATAGATAAGAAGAAGGTACCTCTTGATTTAAAATCTTTTTTTTTGGTTGCGCAATTGTAAAAGTAAAATATAATTGAAACATTAAACAACTGGGCCAATAATTTGTTATTTTTATTATTGAGTAGGTATGTAGTTACTTAAATCTCTCATAATAGAAGAGGCCGTGTGGCTATAGCCACACTATATTGGTTATAACCAATTGTATCCGTCATCCTTCATCTTGTTCCTATCGCGAAAGCAATTTCTCATCTGTGTAAAAACTTTATTATTTTTTTTTGTTTATGCAATGCAACTGGAGCAACGCAGGTTCTTCAACAATAGAAGCCAAGGCCTGCGGATTATATGTTACGTACGATGACTTAGATAATTGCGGTGTAGATAAGATATATATTTCGTACACGTCCAAGTTAAGAAATGTTTTGTTTTTGTGTATTTAGGGATGTTGCTTGAGGGTTGATTGCTTCAGAATTATTTGGTCGATGTTAAAATAAAACTCCCTAATTACTTGTAGAGAAGAGGTGAAGATGGAATAATGAATGAATGATATTTATTTACAAAACTGTGTACAATTATACTTAAAAATTATCCTACACTTACAACTAATATTGACATGTGGTACCAAGATGCGGAGCGTTGGTTGGTTGCGCAGCTACCAGGCTAGGCGATAAAAATGCGGCGCGGCAAAAAGTTGGCCTTTTTCTGCACGCAGCCGTCGAAGCGTACGAACGTGTTCTTCTTAGAACACTTCGATATCGTAACCTTGCGATAACGCTAATAACTGTCCTTTTCAGGACAAATTATCGTATCACGACTAAACGTCTACAACTGTCCTTTTCAGGACATATTATTCTTGTTTCACGACGAAAACGTTTAACAACTGTCCTTGTCAGGACGTATTACCGTGTCTTACGACACGATGAAACTGTTCTTTTCAGAACACACGACCGTAACTATTCTGATATGTTCTTGTCAGAACACATCACTGTTTCAATACGACACGTTAATCAATCACCTACAGGATTCCCCCTCTAGCGAAGCGTACCGGCAGGCGTATAACGCGGCCTCGGCGAGTTGTCCTTGTAGGTATTGAGTTGTTCCCAATGTCTTGTTGTTTCAGGTCGTTGTCATTTTGATGTTTCAGGTTGTTGTCGTTTTGATGTTTCAGGTTGTTATCGTTTTGATGTTTCAGGTTGTTGTCGTTTTGATGTTTTAGGCTATTTGATGGTTTATGTAGTTCGCTCGCACTTGATGTGAGTTGCTTGTTGCAGGTACTCGGTATTGTGTCAGTGGGCACATCTGGCTCGGCGATAGTGTAGGCGGGTTTGAGTCTGTCAATAGAGATGTTTGTTTCACGGTTAGGTAACTGCAGCGTGAATATCTTGCTGTCTCGTTTCAGCACGCGATAGGGTCCGTCGTAGGGTGCTTGTAACGGCTTCTTTACGGCGTCTATGCGTACGAATACGTATTCACATGTCTGCAGGTCGCGGTGTATGAATATAGGTTTTGTGTTGCCGTGTGGTTGGTTAGGCATTGGTTGCAAGTTACGAATTGCGTCGCGCAGCTGATCGATGTAGGCAGAGTCCATAATGACGTCATCGCGGGTCGTTGATAAGAAATCACCGGGTAAGCGTATGTTGCATCCGTAGGTAAGTTGGGCGGCGCTTACGCCGGTGTCACTTCGCATGGCGGCGCGTAATCCGAGTAGGACGGTTGGTAACTCGTTGATCCAGCTTCTTGCGGTCTGTAGTCTTGCCTTTAATGCGGCCTTAAGGACACGGTGCCATCTTTCGATGATACCGTTACACTGTGCATGGTATGATGTTGTACGCGTTTTTTCAATTCCGAGTAAGCGAGAAAGAGATGCAAATACTCTGCTTTCGAATTGGCGTCCTTGGTCCGTTGTTATTGTAGCAGGGCAACCGAAACGGGAAATCCAACCTTCGTATAATGCTTTGGCGACGTCTTCGGCTGTTATTTCGCATAATGGGTATGCTTCGGGCCATCTCGTCGCTCTGTCGATCATTGTCACTAGGTATCGATGACCGGTGGCCGCGGTAGGTAGCGGACCAACGATATCGATGTGAACGTGTTCGAATCGTTCGGTTGGTGAAAAAATTGATAATGGACTTGTTGTGTGGCGTTGTATTTTAGCGCGCTGACACTGTAGGCATACTTTTGCCCACTTGCCGACATCTGCGTTCATTGAGGGCCAAAAGTAGCGTTGCGTAATTAATTTCCTCGTGGTCTTTATTCCAGGGTGGCTAACGTTATGTACTGCGTCGAATGCGGTACGTCGGTATTCTTCAGGTAGGTACGGACGTATGTATGAGGTCGAAGTTTCGCAGAGTAATTTGATGTTTGACGCGGGCAGGTTTACTTCCTTGAAAGATAAGTTGCTCTGTAAACCGAGTGTTTTAATGGTATCGCTGTCGCGCTCTTGAGCTATTGCAAGTCGATTGTAGTCGATCGGCGATGGACATGTGATTGCGTCGATGCGTGATAATGCGTCTGCGGCTGCATTTTTGAGACCCACTGACGTGACGTATATCAGTGGTAAATTCGCTGATATAAAGTAGCTGTCGGGTGCGTCTCGGTGATTCGCTGTTTGTATTTGATTTGGTGTAAGCGAAAGTTAGCGGCTTGTGGTCCGTGAATATTATAATTTCTCGCCCCTCGAACATTTTGCGAAAATGTTTGACAGCCATGTAGATGGCGAGTAGCTCTCGATCGTAAGTACTGTAGCGAGTCTGTGCGTCGCTGAATTTCTTCGAAAAATAGCCGAGTGGTTGCCACGAGTCGTTGATAAACTGGTTGAGTGCGGCACCAGCTGTTTTGTCACTCGCGTCGCTGAATATAGCAAGCGTCGCATGGTGAGACGGATGAGCGAGTAAAGCGGCGTTTTTTATGCTCTCTTTACATGCTTCATAAGCTTGCGTCGATTCAGCGGTCCAGTCGATCTTAGTTTTGTCACGCTTCTTGATGTCGTGCAGGTAAGTATTTAGCGGCGCTTGTATGGTGGCGGCATCTTTGATATTTTCGCGGTAAAAGTTGATCATACCGAGAAAACGTCGCAGTTCCTCTACGGTTTGTGGCTTTGGAAAATCTGTGATAGCCTGTACCTTCTCTTGGGGTGGCTGTATTCCTTCCGCCGTGACTTGATGACCGAGGAATTTGACAGTTGGCTGACCGAAAACACATTTTGATGGGTTGATAGTAATGCCGTATTCTTCGAGTCGCTGTAATACGGTGCGTAGATGTTTTCGGTGCTCTTCCTCGTCTATTGACGCTATCAGTAGATCATCAACGAAAGGGAATACGAAGTCGAGTTCGCGCAGTACTTCGTGAATAAAACGTTGGAATGTCTGGCCGGCGTTCTTTAGACCAGGACACATACGCGGAAACTCGAAAAGGCCGAATGGTGTTATGATAGCTGTTTTCTCCACATCTTGCTCGCTGACTGGCAGTTGTTGGTACGCCCGGTTGAGGTCGAGTGTGGAGAAAATTTTCTTCCCTGCGAGTTGGTAAGTGAAATCACGTATGCGGGGTATGGGATACCGATCGGGCTTGGTTATAGCGTTGAGCCTTCGGTAATCGCCACACACGCGTAACTCTCCACTCTTCTTAGGCACGACGTGAAGAGGTGATGCCCAAGGGCTTTTGCTTGGTCTGCATAACCCTTGATTAATCATGTTCTGAAATTCTTTCCTGACCATTTCGTAGCGATGCGGCGCAATGGGGCGTGGCCTGCAGTGAAGAGGCGGTCCATTTGTTTCAATGAAGTGTTCGACGGAATGTTTAGGACTAAGCTTCATTGAAGTGAGTCTAGTTGTGCCTGGGAAATCTGCTAGTATGCTGTGGTAATTTTGCCCAATGTCTATACTGCGAACTGTAGGTATGCCCGAAGTACTGAGTTGAGCGTTAGTTACCAGCTGTGTTTTCCCGTCGATCAATCGTCGGTTTTTTACGTCGACAATGAGGTGGTGGTACTGTAAGAAATCTGCTCCCAGGATTGGCTTGGACACATCTGCTACGACAAATTTCCATGTGTATGGTCTTCGGAGGTTAAGATCGAGTGTGAGTGACTTCTCTCCGTATGTAGGAATTACAGTGTTGTTGGCGGCGTACAGTTGAAACGGCAGTGGTTTTTCGCGTGAGCCTTTTTTCTTTGGTAGCACGGAGATATTGGCTCCTGTGTCGACCAAAAAAGTAAGTTTCGTTACCCTGTCGGTAACGAAAAGGCGGTGTGATGATTCGGTAACGCCAGTTCCCGCCGCGGCTAGCGTTACTTTTAGTTTTCCGACTGGTTAATGGGCTTGAAACTGCACGGTGGTGCGCATTTCTTCGCGTCCATACCGTAGCGATGATGGTAGTAGCAGTACGGCATTGGAGATTTTTTTCGGCTTCGGTCTTCCATCTGTGACTCACGTCGGATTTCGTTACGATTTGGAGATGCGTTCCTCGAGCGTGATTGGAAACGGTGTCGAGAGCGACTGTTGCGGTAGTTGTCGCGAGGTTGTGCTCGTAGCTCAGCAACTTCCAAAGACAACCTTCTTATTTCACCGATGAGGGTGTCAATGGTTGGCTGTTGCGGATGAGGTGGTTGTGCTAGAGGTGGTGGAGTCGATGGTACAGATGCGAAAGGCGTTGCAACGGCAGCGATGTGTTGCGACGGCGTGTGGACTTCCATCATTTTGTCCGCGAGCAAGGTAAGGTCGTCGAGCGTCGTTTTGATTTTAAACGCTTCGCTGACAGCTAGCACGGAGCGAATCTGTGGCGGCAGATGCTCGAGCCACATCATTTTGATGGTGCTTTCGGGAAATTTATCCTTGTTAAGCTGCTTCATTTGCCTCATCAGCTGGCTGGGTTTCTGGTCTCCGAGCTCGACTTGCGACAGTAGCTTCTTCGTTTGTGCGCTGTTAGACTCTTCGTATAGCGATATTAAAGGGATGTTGCTTGAGGGTTGATTGCTTCAGAATTATTTGGTCGATGTTAAAATAAAACTCCCTAATTACTTGTAGAGAAGAGGTGAAGATGGAATAATGAATGAATGATATTTATTTACAAAACTGTGTACAATTATACTTAAAAATTATCCTACACTTACAACTAATATTGACATGTGGTACCAAGATGCGGAGCGTTGGTTGGTTGCGCAGCTACCAGGCTAGGCGATAAAAATGCGGCGCGGCAAAAAGTTGGCCTTTTTCTGCACGCAGCCGTCGAAGCGTACGAACGTGTTCTTCTTAGAACACTTCGATATCGTAACCTTGCGATAACGCTAATAACTGTCCTTTTCAGGACAAATTATCGTATCACGACTAAACGTCTACAACTGTCCTTTTCAGGACATATTATTCTTGTTTCACGACGAAAACGTTTAACAACTGTCCTTGTCAGGACGTATTACCGTGTCTTACGACACGATGAAACTGTTCTTTTCAGAACACACGACCGTAACTATTCTGATATGTTCTTGTCAGAACACATCACTGTTTCAATACGACACGTTAATCAATCACCTACATGTATAAAAAACTTCATTGATTCATAGTCAGTGTTCTTACATACTATACGTAGATACTGATGATGCACAATGACAATTGTCTAAATAGCAAAAGGATGAATTATCTTAAAATTTAATTTAAAAATATAATAAATATATAATTGTCTTAAATATTATTAATATATATATATTATTAAATTTTAATTACGTAATATGTTAACAATTAATGTAAGTAAATTTAAAATTAATTTTAGTATGATTTTAAACTACACTAAATATAATATTAAATTCTAAGACTCCAATATATTATAACTGTGGAGGTCAACATGCAGGTGTATCATGTGATAGGTCCGATCAAGATCCTCTATACTGTGTAATATGTGAATTCTAAGGGTTTCAGCAGAAAACGAGGAAAACAAATAAGAAGATGATATGAGAACAGCTGGCCCTATGTGGCTACGTAAAGCTAGACACCGAGAAGATTGGAAGCTCTTAGAGGAGGCTTATGTCAACAAGCTGTCAAACAGATATTAACCGACTTGCCGATTAATAATTAGTGTTTATAGTACTTCACCTTTTTATGTACTAAGATAAGTATTTTATAGCAATAAAGGCTATTATTATTATTTACCTAAGTACGTACATAATGTGTACCCAATGTAACCGTGTATTAACCACGTGATATATTTAAGATGACTGGACTGTTCCATAAGTTGGAATATACGTACTCCACCACTGGCGGTGAGATTGGGCCTTATTTCCAATGCATGCTCTGTAGTGTCCTCTACGACCGGGGCGGCACAATCATATTCTAGTGGACACATTGGAATTGGTAATGAGTGGTCAAAATGGAACTTTTATAAAGCAAATTATCATTTATTATACACGCGTTTGTTATCAGTAGACTGGGGTACGCTATACAGCCTGAGCGACGTGGATGAGATGGTTGTATATTTTTACACTGTGATTTATGATATTTCTCTTTTGACGGTGAACAGAAATTCAAGATATAAATATCCAGCATGGTATACCAAGGACTTAATTGACCTGATCAAAAAGAAAGCTTGACTCACAAACGATACAAACAAACCAAAACGACGTCTGATTACCAGGAGTTTTCTAAATGTAGAAAAGATGTAAAAAATAGCATAGAAAGTGCATATAAATTCCATTTAGATAAAATACAAAACCAATTCTCGATTGATCCAAAGTCTTTTTGGCAATATGTTAAGGATCATACACGACCATTAAAAAGGGAATGTATTGTAAAAGATGGAATAAATTTAACGGAGAAGGAGAGTGCTAACGAATTTGCCCAGTTCTTCAAAAGTGTTTACAGTACCGAGACGCCACAACTTGATGTGAATGCGGCAGCAGCATATGGGACGAGCAGCGCCCGTGTTCGCTTAGATGATTTCACCTTGCGGGAAGTGAGTGACGCACTGGTGCGCCTCAAATCTAAGCGTTCGGTCGGTCCTGATGGCCTACCACCTTTTCTTTTTAGGGACATCGCGTGCCTACACTACTAAGACGCGCTACGAGATGAAAGGATGTTTTACTTCCTGCGTAGCATTTAGCTACGCAAGTTTCGTAGAAGTATTTTATAGATTAAGGTCTCTTGTATAGAAACTAATTTGTGTTATTACGCCGTTTTAAATTACGAGATATAAGTTTTTAGTAATCTTTTAAAATTAATTTCTCAAGGCGGCGGTGATAAGTTTTCTGGATGTTTTAAATCGAAACCAGTTTGTTTCGCTCTAAATTGAAACCGGGTATTTTAAGCTATGTACATCATTACATCAACACTAAACTACCAATGTGGTTACAAATTATTTTTTAAAGAAGTCTTTGATCATTTGATATATAACAAAATAGGGGCACATCATAACAAAATGTTGAAAAATATCTCCGCGAATTGAGAAAAAATCTCAAAGAATATTCAAGCATAACATTTCGCATTATTCTTAGTGTTTTTGTTGGTCTGTTCATTTTAATTGAAGTCGGTCATTGAAAACAGCCTCCGGCAAATAAGTATACGAGTTTTAGGGGGAAACACTTGAAATGTATAATGTTTAAGAACTTTAAACTAACACCACTCACGGTGTTAAAGAATTGTATTTGATATTGACCAAAATCTGCCTATAGGTGATTTTAATTTGTAAAAATGTTTTATAAACCTTGTACATACCCTAAATATATAAATATAGGAATAAACTGAAAATAAAATAGTCGTATGAAAAATAATAAAATAATCAATATAAACTTGTTATATCAGACTATGCCATCAATGCCACATCTAGAAAAAATTAAATTCTAGAAAAAATTAAATTCTAACATCCGAGTTTCGCTTGGTTGACTGACCAAGTTTTTTATGTCTACCCACATTTTTGGTGCTGTTCTGTTTTCTTATTTTATATATGTACCTACATCTGTGCGCTCTAATTTTTAATCTTAGTTTTAAATATGTGTTTCTCAGTAAGTGAATTTTCAATTCTTATGAGAAATAAAGTTATTCTTAAACCAAAAAAAATATTTATTTATTTCTGGAAATCGAGGTCACCAGTTATTATGTTTTTCTTGTTTTGTAATTGAGTTAAAAACAATAAAATAGGCTGAAACAAATTACTGTGAGGAGATGTCAGAAGAAAATTTCGAGTTATATTTAGAATCTGCCCGTAGTGCTAAAAAAATGTTTAAGAAAAAGAGATATGATGGTTGGCAATCATTTTGTGCCTCCATTAGCCCAGACGTCAGCCCGTCAGAGGTCTGGCGTAATATTCGTAGATTTAGATCTGCATATAATAATTCTCCCTCTTCTAAATTACCGCTAACCCTAGCTGATCAGTTCATGGATCATCTTGCACCCCCTTCTGTACCGGAACAGGGATTTCCTCCATTATCTATTCCTGCTTACATTTCCGATGACCAAACTTAGATATTTGTGTTCTGGTTGGCTCTAGTTCTAACGGGTCTTTTTGGGTAGGTAGTACTCTTACTCTCGCGGCATTGTCCCAATCGCTTGGAAGATCGCCTTAATTGATCCAATCCCTAAAAAAGGTGAACACTTTGATCCGTCCAACTACTGCGCATCAACCCTTTGTTTTCTAAAATATTGAAGTCCATTAATGGACACATAAGGAACTCTCTGCGGGACATATCGAGCGATGTTCAGTTTCGCGTTTCTCATCTTTGGACGGGAGCCTCCCAGTCATCGACAACTCTACTCTTTCCAACCGGATTGATACTTTGTGTTTGCGTAGAGATGCTGCTTCTCTTACTACCTTCTGCTTCATTTATCATGGAGAGTGCTCTGAAGAATTGTTCGGACTAATACCTTCCCCTGAACTCCTACCTCGGACATCGAGGCAGAATGCGAATCATTCCTCATTCCTATGATTAATACGATATCAACTGAGAGAAAGATTATTATTTGGATTTCTACTTATACCGGGTTCTTAAGCAATAAAACATATAAATGATGTTACGTACGTAATCTTAAGTATTATTGAATAATCTACTTGCCATAATCTAGTTCTCATACAGTAGTAAGTAACGTGTATATGTATTGTTAAACTTACAACATATGTTTTGATGTGATTTGCATAGTTTCAATTATGCCGCATAGTCGTGACATATAATATTAAGTCTTATTAAATCCTGACCGATGGCAAACGAAAAGTTAAAAGTTTCATACATACTTATAATAATTGATCAATATTAAAAAACTGTTTTTTTATAGTGGCGACGGAGAACATCCTGAGAACTTGTCTTTGACTTCACACTAAAGAAAAATTATTAGGCCGTGTATTTTTTATATGTACAAGCTCGGTCCATGGTGGATGATCCAACTCTTACTCCAGAGTTCCAAAAATAGTATTTTTTATAGAACAGGCCAAACTGAAGTGGTACACCGCCCATGGACACTCACACTATGGCAGTGTGGCTCGCAAGTGCCTTGCCGGCCTTTTAAGAATTGGGACGCTCTCTTCATAATGGACCCGATTAATTTTAAATATTTCTTTATTTTGTAAGCTATTGAACTAAAAACACCATTTTACTAGGGCCTCTGTGAAAGTGGAATAAGAAAATATAAAATATTGTATTTATGCTAAGATCTCTTCGCTTACTACAGTAGGATGAATGCAATACTAGTTTAATTGTCTTTATATCATAGGTAGACACTTTCCTTTTCATATATAATGTATTCTCTTGTGTAATATCTGCGATAAATGGTATAACATCTACAGCATCAAAAATGAAGATGCAGGCGCGAGCTTCGCTGATGGCGCTGGCCGCGCTGGTAGCGTTGGTAGCTAGAGTCAACCTCAATTATGATAATCTTCAACGGCATGTACTTCAGAGGTTCGTGGAAGAAGCCGTTTGATGTCATTGAACCTGTCTATTATCTATTCTATAAATCCAATTCTGAAAAGAAACATGTACCTAATGTTGATGAAGACTAGAGAAAAGTTTATGACTGTATCGTTGCCGTAGCTGGATAGTGAGGCACTGCTTCTGCCTTATGATGTATGTTTTTTATTTATATTTTTTCTTTATGATAACGATAAAAAGAATAGGAAATAAAAAAACATGTTACGTCACGTCACGTCTTCAGAATTTAATTTCCAGCAATATTTTCTAATGCTCATACCGAGTTATGGTTATATTTTTCTATTATAACACTTAACATCGAAACGGTAATATTGTTAGTTATTTTACGTCTACAGAAATTTCTGCAATACAGTCAAAATTCCGAATCATATTGGGTTTTGTTTTGACTTTAATCGATAACGTTCAGTCGTATATTCCTAAGCATTCGTATGACGAATTCACATAACGAAATTTAAAGGAAAGGAAAGGAAGGAAATTTAAACCAGTACAAATTAAAATCATCCCCCTCGCGTCACCCTAGTTCACGCAAAAATGCCACGCAGTATTCTCTAATTCATCAAACGCGAAACGTCTCCTCGATCATGAAAAATATATGTTAATAAACAGCTCTTTATGTATAACATTTTTGTTGTTGTAATTATGAAAAAATATAGAATTATGGTGTGTTAGACACATGGCTTATTTAGCGGTTGGACGATGAAGGGTAAGGATAATTATTGATTTTACTCGAATGGGCATGTACTCACATTATTATTGTTTGGCTTTGTAATAGCCGGAAACTCTTTAGGGTCTAACATCTGAGGGGCTATGAGGCGGAGCTGTACTCACCACAGTGGCGTAACTTCTGTTGAGATTGAGATATTTACTCTTTTTTTTTTCCTCCATTTTTTTCTTTTTAATGGGGCAATCCCTGGAAATTGCCAAATGATTGCCATTACAATTAACACAAATAATTTCATCTACGACACACTCCTTGTAGAAGTGCCGGCCGGAACATGACGAGCTCATTTGCTCTCCGCGACAAACTCGAGCTGAGTGATTGAAATTCAAGTATCTGAAGCATTGCAGCAGTGCTGGAATATATATGTGGATCGGGTATCTAAACATCTATATATATATGCATATTGGGCCAGCGTTAAAAGAAAAGTCACTAAAATCGTGCCGAGCGGGACCAGTTTTCGGTCAACTTTTATCATGAACCTTTTAACTGAAATCACTTCCGTGTTGCACATAATCTTCTTATATATCTCCGCATTCGTTAGCTCCTTGGGCACTTATATATATATATATTGGTCAGGTGAGCTGGAACAAAAGCTTTAAGCTTGTGTCGCCCTAGAAAACTGTCCATTTTTAGGAAATTATTAGCCGGTGCTGGTTTTTTGAAAGTGATGCCTATTTTGTGAGCATTCACTCGGTGTACTCCCACTATTCCTTTAACATTGTCCGTAAATAGTTTCGTTAATGTGATGGTATTTTTATTCCCTAAACTTCTCATTTTCTTGTGATTCGTTTTAAACATATTTCCTAGATACATATGAGCTGATGGTTTTAAATTAATATTTGTGCCATTTTTTTTTGCCAAAAAGTAACGAAGACTGAATAGTTTTAAAGATGTTTGAGAGTTTACTAAGTAATATTAAAAGGAAGTTGAGTAAACCATCTCTAAACTCGAAACAACAGAAAAAGAGGGTATAGATTGTAGCATCTATCGCCTACCTGCTATTACGAACATTAATAAATTAGTCTGTCTTCCGAGCCCGCCTTTTATTGACGTATCATTTGGCGACGAGTTTTAACGATTAAAAAAGTATAAAATGTCGATTGGGAAAATTGAATCATTTAATTTGAGTTCCAAGCAATGGCCAGCGTATATTCGGCGTGTAAAACAATTTATAAAATTAAATGACATTAACGAAGAATTAAAAGTTAGTATGCTGGTGACTGTGGTCGGGGAAGAAACATATATGCTCATGTGTGATCTTTGTGCACCAGGATTTCCTGAGGATTCGACGTTTGATGAGTTAGTCAAATTAGTAACAGAACATTTAGAACCTCAAAGGTCCGAAATCGCGGAACGGCACGTGTTTCGTTTGCGACGTCAAAAAAATGGGGAGTCTTTAACCGACTACTTGCAGGCCCTTAAACACTTGGCCTCTTCATGTAATTTCGGCAAGTGTTCATCGTGCTCAACTTTGGAAGAAAATCTTCGGGATCAATTTGTATCGGGTCTGGCGAATGATGCTATGCGATCTCGAATTTTTGCCGAGAAAAAGATACAGTATAAAGAGGCTGTGGAACTGGCACTGGCATTGGAGGCGGCTGAACGGCACGCAGAGGTCAGTGGATCCACACGGGCATCGGTGAATGAGGCATCAGGAACAACAGGCGGTCAGGTGAGCGAGGGCTTGCATTACGCGCGTGGCGGTGGCCCTGTGGGCAGCCAACAGCCGCGCACGACTTACATACCGAGCGCCAAGGGCGCTGGTGTTGCTGTGCGTTCAGCAGGTGGAAACGTGGGGACTTCAGGTTCTGGTGTTTCATGCTGGCGCTGTGGCAAGGCGCACACAGCGGATAAGTGTCGTTTTAAGCAATACAATTGTGATGAGTGTGGCCGACGGGGTCATTTAAAAGTGATGTGCAAACAAGTGCGTGGTAGTGATAGTCGACAGAACTTTGTGTCGGACGAATCTGATGTTGAGTTATTTAATTTGAAGTTAAGCAGTCAGGGTAACGAACCTTATTTTATAAAAGTCTTTATAGACAATAATTTAATTCGATGCGAAGTAGACACGGGAAGTCGTATATCAGCAATAAGTGAAAAAATGTATAATAGTTTTTTTTGTCATAAAGTAATTATAAGGGATGGCATAGTATTACGTTCTTATTCAGGTACTCAGATCGGGTCTTTGGGTTACATTGAGGTAAATGTGCGTTTGGGCGTCGTAGAAGTTAAATCATTACGTTTATATATTATAAAAGAAGGTGCTAGACCTTTAATAGGACGAGAATGGTTACGTGCGTTGAATATTAAAGAAATTTATCTTAATGAAATAGCGGAAGATTCTTTTGTGAATAGATTAAGCAAGGAATTTCCAGAAGTTTTTTGTAATAAGTTGCGTGTGCCCACATGTAAGAAAACTATTCAATTACAACTTTGCGATAACGAACCGGTTTATGTGCGAGCGAGGCCGGTGCCACTAGCACTTCGCGCGCGAGTTGAGAACGAGCTAGCGCGTCTTGAGGCAGACGGATCCATTTATCGGGTGGAGTACTCTGATTTTGGGACCCCAATCGTACCAGTAGTTAAAAAAAATGGGGAGATACGTATTTGTGGGGACTATAAAATTACTGTGAATCCCAAATTAAAAAGAGATTTTTATCCATTACCGCGAATTGATGAATTATTTGCTAATTTAAGAGGGGGGGAGCAGTTTACGAAAATAGATTTAACGCACGCGTACGAGCAGTGTCTTTTATCTGAGGAATCACAGCCGGTCACGGCCATTACTACCCATATGGGTACTTTTGCTTATCGTCGTACTCCTTATGGTTTATCATGTATACCGGAAAAATTTCAAAAATTAATGGAAGAAACGTTGCGTGGAGTGAGCGGCTGTGTCGTTTTTTTAGATGATATTTGTGTGACAGGCTCGAATAGAACTGAACACATAACTAATCTTAAGGCTGTACTCGAACGTTTGCGTAGTATGGGGCTAACTGTCAAATTATCTAAATGTAAATTTTTGCAAGATAGTGTTAAGTATCTTGGTTTTATTATAAATAAAGAGGGTTTGCAACCAGATCCTGATAAGTTACAAGCTATTAATAATGCACCCACGCCAAGTAATGTAACTCAATTAAAAAGTTTTTTAGGCATGTTAAATTATTATGGAAAATTTATTGTTAATTTAAGTACTCTTTTGCAACCGTTACATAATTTATTAAAAAAAAAAATTCTTCTTGGGACTGGAATTCGAAATGTGAGGAGGCGTTTGTAAAGGCAAAGCGATCACTCTTGAGTAAACGGGTTTTAGCGCACTATGAGGAAGGCCGAGAGTTAGTTTTGTCAGTGGACAGCAGCGCTTATGGGCTGGGTGCTGTGTTAGCGCATCGCTATCCGGGCGGGGTCGAGCGGCCCGTAGTTACAGTCAATTAGACAAGGAAGCGCTCGCTATTGTTTTTGGTGTTTTTAAACATCATCAATATTTGTTTGGAAGACGTTTTACATTGCGTACGGATCATCAACCGTTGACATATATTTTTGGCAGTAAGGGAGGTATTCCTCTGACTGCAGCAAGTCGGTTACAGAGGTGGGCAGCACGTTTGGCTGCATATGATTTTTCGATAGAATTTGTACGATCGGTAGATAACGGTCCAGCCGATGCTTTGTCGCGTTTGCCGCTTCCTCAAGAGGGTCGATTTGCAGATTCAGTAGATTACCTTAATTTAGTTGCGGACTCTTCACCTATTTCTTATAAAGATATTGCTAGGGAAACTGAACGAGATAATTTTTTGTGTAAAATCAAGCGGTATATTTTTTTCGGTTGGCCAAGCGTTCCGAGTTGTGAGGATGAAAAACCATATTTTGCTAGAAAACATGATTTTGCTGTTGAACAAGGTTGTGTAATTTATAAATATAGAATTGTGGTTCCAACGAATTTACAAAAAAATATTTTGTATGAAATTCATGAGGGTCATTTGGGAATGAATAAAATGAAAAGTTTAGCTAGGAGCTACGTGTATTGGGCGAGTTTAGATCACGATATTGAGACGGTTTGTAGGAACTGTGGGGCGTGTCGGTCCGTGTTGGATGCGCCACCTCGAGCCCAAATTCACCCATGGGAGTTTCCTTTGCACCCGTGGCATCGTTTGCATGCTGACTTTGCGGAATATGGGGGTAGGCGGTATCTTATTGTTGTTGATTCAAACACGAAATGGATTGAAGTATTTTCAATGACTAATACCAGCGCGTCTTTTACAATTAGGGTTTTTAGAAATATTTTTGCAAGATTTGGTTTACCATCACAGCTCGTGACCGATAATGGTCCACCATTTTGTTCTATTGAATTTGAGTCTTATTGTGTAAGTAATTGCATTAAACATACTACTTCGGCTCCTTATCGACCTCAGGGTAATGGAGCAGCGGAAAATGTTGTCAAAACCGTTAAAAAAACAATTAAAAGGGCAGTTTTTGAAGGCGAAAATATTGACGCAGCTCTCGATAAATTTCTTTTTAAATATCGCAACTGTGAGCATGCCACAACTGGCATTTCACCGGCCGTGGCGTTGCTAGGGCGTCGTTTACGTAGTCGTTTAGACGCAATACGACCGGACGTGGCCGCCACTGTTCGGGATAAGCAAGAGCGGCAACTCGCACAAATACCGCGTGCTCAGCGAGAGTTTGAAATTGGGGAGACAGTACTTGCAAGAGATTATAGGCAAGGAGGGGAGAAATGGGCTTCAGGAAAGGTGTGTAAAAGGACGGGCCCGGTTTCTTATAAAGTTGATTTGGGCAACGGTATTGAGTGGCGTAGACATGCAGACCAAATTATTTCAAATAAAAACAGATTTTCAATGTCACGCACGAATACAGCGGTTGTCTCAGAACAGGAGGGTAATGATGGGCTAGGGTCTGAGATTGTGGAGGTTACAACTGAAGAGAGTGATCTTAATAAAACAAGCAACAAATTAGAAGATCAAGCGTGTCAGGTGGAGCCTCAATCAACACAGACTCTGTCCGAGTCCTCTCAGGAACTATCGGCTCGAGCATTGCGTGCTTTAAAGCGAGCTAAAAATAATAGTTGATAAGTTGTTTGTCATGATTAAAGATTTTATCTTGGTTTAGTTTATTAAGTACTAGGTTATGTAAATTTTGTAATATTTCTTATCCTAGTGTAGTGGTTTAAAATGTATTTCGCGATTTGTAGGGGAAAGATGTAGCATCTATCGCCTACCTGCTATTACGAACATTAATAAATTAGTCTGTCTTCCGAGCCCGCCTTTTATTGACGTATCATAGATAAAACTGGGTTGAGACGTAAATTTCAAATATTTAAGGCAAAAATTGTTAAATCACCAGAACAAACAGTGACTGCTACCTATAATGATAACAAAGCATTATGTCCTAGAGTTATAAGCGGGGGTGACTATGTTCAAACAGAGAAATTTTATTTATAGATAAATCAACTTAACTGAGTTCGTAACATTGTAGTTTGACTTAGAATTTAACATTGGCTCGTCGAACTTGTCGATTTCCAGTATCGTATTGTCTTTTCCTTCTCCTCTAAAACAAATATTCATATAAAAGTTGAGACACGTTTTCTCTTGATTGATTGCCCCAAATGCCGGTTTACAAAGTTTAACTTTAATAAGTCTGAGTTTACTGAATCATTATTAACATTTAATATTTGCTATAATTTTGGCATTCATTAAATTTTTAGAAATTATAAAAAAAAAATATTTTGTTACAGTGTGTAATAATATTTAATCATTTAATGCTTCGCAAATCACGAACGAGCAAACCGTATGGCACGATGGCTTAGACCGACCGGACCGTTGGTTTTCCGCATTCACAAGCGCGCCGCCTGCGTATGCGCGCCGCGCCAATTGACTCGGCGCGATGGACTTTCGCGCAGTTGGAATTCCATCGTGCCGTTCTAATCAGTAATCTCCCATAATACTTTTTAGTTACCTTTATTAAATGTACAAATATAAATAAATAATTAAACATACTTTCCCACATTGATGGAGTGATGAATCCTATATAATAATCATTGTTCAAGACATGTTTATAAAGGACACTATAATATGCATCTCCAATAGCTTTTCTTTACAAGCTAAACCCCAGGTTTGTGGGGTTGGTACCCTTGTCCCCCGGCCGCCATCTTGGAAAAAGGGGTGAAAACACGTTTTTGGCTATAGCTCCTACACTATCCATCGTACAAAAATTTGTGGCGACATATTTCTTCTTCTTATTAGTAAAAGATTTTTACTGGCTAAGTTGTTAAATAAACGAGTCACGTTATGAAATGAATTCAACATAAATGAAAACGTTTAGTGTGAAATAAATTGGAGGAATGAATAGTAAAATCGGATTTAATCAAAATGGTATGTAAACAGTTTCGTAATCTACGTTTATTAACTTAAAAAGGATAACATTAAATTCTTCTACAGTGTGCTTAACAGTTCTGGTTTAGTGCATGCTATAGAAAAATCGACTCACACTACTTCTGCTGCTGACTTGACTTAGTGCTTCTTATCATAAAATACAGCTTACTGCAGAACAGTCTACAAACAAGATAAATAAGCCAGAGGGGTTTATGACAAATTTTTATGATCTTCAATTTTTTTTTACTATATTACTGTACTGTATGTATTACATGTACGAGCCAAGGCTGTACATTTTACTCGCTCAGGCTTCCTTAGTTTTATAAGCTTAATTATTCCCTATGTAAGTACGTGCCAGGGATCGTACATTCCAATCATCCACAAGCGTGATGTTTTTATGTAAGTACGTGCCAGGGCTCGTACATTCCAATCATCCACGAGCGTGATGTTTTTATTATGTAAGTACGTGCCCGGGCTGTACGGTTTGGTCACTTATAAGCATGACGATTTCCTAAATCGTTGGAGTTTCACCCCGGGAGCATAGCCAGACGTAGGCACTCTCTCTGCTTGTTAGATTGCACTTATTATATAGCAATTAACATAATAGTTATTATTTCGCTCATATTCTATTGTATAACGCGAGTGATAAATATAGAGTAAATTCAAATTATTCTATTTTTTCGAACCCCTGATGATCCAGGAACCGTACATTTTGGTCCTTCGAGCTATCCGGGAATAGCGGGTCTTTCGCGTACAGTTGATCGCGTTCGCGTTTTTCTCCGTCATCCTGAAGATCGGCGCCGTGGAAAAACATCCCACTGCTGGTTTGTTGGGTCGTCAAGCAAGTAAGAAAATATCATCCGCATCAATAGAAAAGAGGAGAGCAAGGAGAAGGAGGATCCATAGCGGTCGAAAAGGGAGGTAAGCGACAGGAAGTCCACTCCCAGCATTTTTAAGGACCCATAGCGGTCAAATAGGGAGGCAGGCGACAGGAAGTCCGCTCCCAGCATTTTTAAGGACCCATAGCGGTCAAATAGGGAGGCAGGCGACAGGAAGTCCGCTCCCAGCATTTTTAAGGACCCATAGCGGTCAAATAGGGAGGCAGGCGACAGGAAGTCCGCTCCCAGCATTTTTAAGGACCCATAGCGGTCAAATAGGGAGGCAGGCGACAGGAAGTCCGCTCCCAGCATTTTTAAGGACCCATAGCGGTCAAATAGGGAGGCAGGCGACAGGAAGTCCGCTCCCAGCATTTTTAAGGACCCATAGCGGTCAAATAGGGAGGCAGGCGACAGGAAGTCCACTCCCAGCATTTTTAAGGACCCATAGCGGTCAAATAGGGAGGCAGGCGACAGGAAGTCCACTCCCAGCATTCTCAAGGACCCATAGCGGTCAGATAGGGAGGCAAGCGACAGTGAGTCCGCTCCCAATATTTTCAAGAACCCATAGCGGTCAGATAGGGAGGCAAGCGACAGTGAGTCCGCTCCCAACATTTTCAAGAACCCATAGCGGTCAAATAGGGAGGCAAGCGACAGTGAGTTCGCTCCCAATATTTTCAAGGACCCATAGCGGTCAAAAAATATATCAGCGTCCTTCCAACCTAGAAGAAGGCAAAGGACGTTTTTTCAGCATAATAACTAGGTAATCCCTTTCAAAAAAGGGCAAGTTATACAGCACTTTTACACACCATTGTTAATTGGGGCATTATATTAATAAATCATTATGAATAAGTTATACCAAGAACAACTTACAGTATGGGGGGATATTCAAAAATTAATTAATAACTACAATAAGGACGGAGCAGATAGAAAAAGAAAGCTTGACTATTTTGAGAGTCGGCTGTTTCGTTTGGAAGATTTGTGGGAAAAATTTCAATCCAACCATGACCGCATGTTAATAGAGCTTAGCCCAGAGCATAAATACTTTCAGGAAATGGAGTTTGAAAGAACAGAGGAAAAGTACCGTTCAATAAAAGAAAAATTGAGTCAGGCCTACAAAGACATAATAATCGAAACACCAAAGGCAAGTACTAGTGCGAGCGAGTCTGAGGAACAAGGAACGGCTGGAAGACAAGAATCGGCTCAGTCACCACAAGGGTTTAATATCAATGCTATAAAAAACAAGGGGTATTCGCAAAAGACTACGGAACTGCTCAGCATGCAGGAAGTATTATTCAGGACCTCCGAACACCATTCTATTAAATTTAATATAGAGTCCACCAATGACAAGTGGGAACTCATGGAAATATGGGAGGGTGTAAAGTCGCGTTGGGAGGGGATTCATAACCGTCACCTAGAGATAGACATCGAACTCGCGGGAACTTTCCCGGAATATCAAAAAAAATATTTCGAACAGGCAGAAGAATTTATGCGCCAAAGGAAGGAGATGAATCTCAAATTGCGCTCTATCACCCCTAATGAGAAATTAACCCCACGTATAGAAATACCTATATTTAACGGAAGTTTTGAAAAATGGGTATCATTCCGGGACTTATTCGAACAAAGTATTCACAAAAATTCAAGCCTTTCCAACGCAGAAAAAATGCAATATTTAAAATCAAGGTTAAGAGAGGAACCCGAGAGGCTCATACATCAATTACAAATTAGCAACGAAAATTATGACGCATGCTGGAGAATTATTACGAACAGATACGACAACAAAAAACATATTTTAACTTCGTATCTAAATAGTTTTATGCAGCTTCCAAGGATTGAAAAGGACAATCTGGGGCAAATTAAAAAACTTCACGATGTCACCTTGGAATGCTTGAATGGGCTCAAAATTTTAGGGATTCGCATAGAGCATTGGGACACCATTATAATTCATATTCTGTCGCAAAAACTAGACTATGACACCTATCAAGCATATATTTCATCACTAGAGCATCCCAAAGAGTTACCGGTGCTTAAAGATTTAATGGATTTCCTGGAAAAAACATTTACTGCTTTGGAAACAACAAGTAATCAACCTCAGCAGAGTCTTGTTACAAAACGTCAACCTCGGCCTTATTATAAGCCGTTCAACAATAAATTCGTGTCATCGCAAGTGAGCAATCGAGGCCAAGACAGTATCGATAGAAACACGTGCTGTAAAATATGCAAATCACCTAATCATGTCACGTTTAATTGTAAATTCTTTATAGGCATGAATTATAAAGAAAGGCTTGATACAGTTTTAGGACTGCAGATATGTATTAATTGTTTCTGTAACCACGATGTCAAGGATTGTGCTTCAACAAGCAGATGCAGAGTTTGCTATCAGAAGCATAATACAAAGTTACATAATGCATTAAATAATTCGAACTCGCCTAATCGCCCATCTACAAGCAAATTTCAATATAAAAATTATCCAAGGGAGCAGTCGAAAAGGATATACACGACCTCTAAGGATTTTTCAGAAGTCCTCTTAGCAACAGCAAAAATTAAAGTTTTAGGGGTTAATGGAAAAACCTACCTCATGCGCGCACTTATTGACCAGGGGTCTCAAATATCAATCATTAGCGAAAAGGCAGCACAGCTGTTGAAACTAAAGAGGGAAGGCTGTTATGGTGTTATCTCGGGAGTGGGGGAAAACACACAAAGGATCAAGGGTCAGGTTACATTGACCTGTTCTTCTATTCACACCAACTATACACTAAAATCAAAAGTTTTTATTATGAATAATCTAGTGCATAAATTACCAAACAACTCCTTTAATATGCCGTCATGGCCATATATAAAAAATATCGAGTTGGCAGATCCCGAATTTAATAAAAGCAGCCAAATAGATATATTATTTGGGGCCGATGTCTACTCTGAAATTATTATGAGTGGAATATTAAGAGGTGAAAATCCCTCACAACCTATAGCGCAACAGACACGATTGGGATGGATCTTATGTGGGAAACTAAAGTCATATCAATGCAACGTCATACTAAATAGCACTGAAGACTTACAGAGATTTTGGGAAATAGAAGACATTGAAGAGTCTCCATCAGTAGTGTCCTCGGAAGACCAATATTGTCTTGAGTTGTATAAAAACACAACACTGCGCCAAGCAAATGGAAGGTACAAGGTACGACTTCCATTAAAAGATAACTTTGAACAAAGTTTAGGTCTGTCGAAACCAACGGCTGTAGCACAATTTCATAGCCTGGAACGGAAGTTAGCGAAGCAACCCAAAACCGCGAGGCAATATACAGACTTTATAAATGAGTATAAAGACTTAGGGCACATGTCTCTTGTCGAAAAAAAGGGCTCGGAAATTGGGTATTATTTACCCCATCATTGTGTAACCCGGGAACACTCGGAAACCACAAAACTACGTGTTGTGTTCAACGGGTCAGCAAAGACATCAACGGGAATTAGTTTAAACGATGTAATGTATACAGGCCCCAACCTACAACAAGACTTGCAATCCCTTATATTAAAATGGAGAAGTTTTCGATATGTATACACCGCAGATGTGGAGAAAATGTTCAGAAATATTGACATCTTTGAGTGTGATCGGAAAATGCAAAAAATTATTTGGCGGGACACACAAACTCAACCGTTACAGGAATACGAACTGACAACTGTAACGTATGGCACAAAGGCGGCGCCCTTTTTAGCCATGATGACGCTAAAACAGCTAGCTATGGATGAGAGACCTCGGTTTCCACGGGCAGCGGAAATTACAGAACAAGCATTCTATACAGATGACTTAATTTATGGGGCTCATTCTATAGAAGAAGGATGCAGCATGGTAACAGAGTTACAGGATTTGTTGCAGGCAGGGGGCTTTATGTTAAGAAAATGGGCTTCCAACGATCCAAGAATATTGAAAAGGCTTTCGGAAAAAATTAACAAGGATCAGAATCAACAAATATTTACGTTTAAGGGGGATCTTATTTCAAAAACATTAGGGGTATACTGGAACCCGAAGGAAGACTGCTTTATGTTTCAATCATCATTTGATTTCTCGAATAAAACAACCAAAAGAGCGCTGTTGTCAGATATATCGAAGCTATTTGACCCACTAGGTTGGTTAGCGCCTGCAATCACGGCCATGAAAATAATTTTTCAAGAAGTGTGGAAGCAAAACATTAAGTGGGATGATCAAACCCCTACTTCTATTGTGAAAAAATGGAACCAATTTAAAGAAGAGTTAGAACTAAGTATTTCTAAAATAAGAATCCCTAGATGGTTACAAACTAGTCCGGACAGCACAATAGAGCTACATGGATTTTGTGATGCATCAAACAAAGCATATGCCGCAGTTGTTTACTGTCGAATAAACAACAAGGTCTCATTGGTGGCAGCCAAAACAAAATTGGTACCCATCAAAGGGAAAATCTCAATCCCGAGAGGTGAATTATGTGGAGCAGTTTTATTAACAAAGTTACTTATTAAAGTAAAAACATGCTTTGGGAATAATAACATTAAGTGTTATGGTTGGACGGACTCTATGGTAACATTGGGGTGGATACAGGGACAACCTGAGAAATGGAAGCCGTTTGTAAGCAACAGAGTTAAGCAAATTTGTCAAGATATGCCGTCAAATACATGGCGCTATGTTAAATCAGAGGAAAACCCTGCAGATTGCGCCAGTCGGGGTGTTTCCGTTAAACAACTGGAAAGGCACTCTCTATGGTGGAGTGGTCCATCATGGCTGCCTTTATATAAAAATAACGAAGAAACTCCGTTATATTTTACGAAGGAAGAAGAGAAAAAGCAATATTTAGTTAATTTCGTACAAGGTATGGATAGCACAGTAAAAGGAATCATACAAAATTGCAGTAGTTTCTCACATGCAATCAGAATAGTTGCCTGGATATTACGGCTGTTACCAAAAAATAAGGGAAGAAGGCAACGGCATCTTACATTAGCTGAAATCAAAGAAGCAAAATGGAAGATAATTCGTCACGTACAAGAAGACGAATTCTCCTATGAAATTGAGAACTTGAGTAGAAAGGAGAACATTAATAAAAGCAAACTGATTACATTGAATCCATATCTTGGAGAGGATGGCCTTCTTCGTGTGGGGGGAAGGTTAAGGAATGCCTTTATTAATAAAGACATGCAACATCCAATCATAATTTCGCATACTGGTAGGCTGACTGACTTAATAATAGACCAAGCACATAAGCTTACTTTTCATGGCGGCCCTCGCCTAACATTATCACTTATCAGACAGAAGTACTGGATTGTAGGCGGTTATGTGTAACATGTGTTAAAAATAACCCTCGAATGCAATATCAATTAATGGGCGACTTGCCCGAACCTCGGTGTAATCCGACACGACCGTTTAAGCATACGGGAGTTGATTTTACGGGATTTATCCTAATAAAGAGTAGCAAAGGACGAGGTATCAAGTGCACAAAGGGTTACATAGCCGTATTCATATGCATGGCTACAAAGGCGGTGCATTTAAAAGTAGTATCTGACTTAACTACTTCGGCTTTTCTAGCAGCATTAAAAAGAATGGCGGCCCGAAGAGGGGCTCCGGAACATATTTATAGTGATAATGGCACAAATTTTATTGGTGCAAATCGTATACTTGACGCCGAGTATAACGAGTTAAAACAAGCATTCACAAGTGAACAATTCGCCACCACAATTACGGACATGGAAATAAACTGGCATTTCAATGCACCTGCATGGCCTTCTGCTGGCGGATTATGGGAAGCAGCTGTAAAAAGTTTAAAGGCTCATACAAAGAAGGTAATCGGAGAGCAAAAATTCACGTATGAAGAGCTCGCAACACTCTTATCGCAGTTAGAAGCCTGTCTCAATACTAGGCCTTTATGTCCTATTTCAGAAGATCCAGAGGACATAAACTTTCTAACACCCGCTCATTTCTTAACTGGTGGGCCGACACTTTCATTGTTGCCCACCGAGAATGACTTACGAACAAGATGGTATTTAGTGGAGAAAACTTTCCAAGATATATGGAAGAGGTGGCAGTCGGAATACTTGCCCACCTTGACATCCCGTAGCAAATGGCAAAAACCACGAGAAAACTTAAAATTACAAGATTTGGTTGCCATTCACGACGCTAATTTACCTCCCGGAAAGTGGGCTATGGGCAGAGTTGTAGAGTTACATCCGGGCACTGACAATATCGTAAGAGTAGTCTCGCTAAAGACAAAGAACGGAATAATCAAACGTCCTATTGTCAAATTAAGTCCCTTACCAGTGCAGGACAATAGTAAAACAGCAGCCGAAAATAAGGAGCCACACATAACAAAACCACGGCCCGTAATACGAAAGGGTCTTGGTAACGTCTTAATGATAATGCTTTCATTCATATATTTCATAACATACGTATCAGCCACGCAACCGATAAATTATAATATAAGTACATTCAACAATAATAAGGGGTTATACTTAGACAAAATAAGCAATATGCAATTAATTCAAGAAAAATGGAAAATCGTTGTTTACTATGACATGAACCCCTATTGGGAAGGAGAAAAAGCATTCGAACAATATTTTAAAACGTTACAAGGCATGTGTTCTGTCCTCAATGAAAAAACACATTGCGAAATTACTATGAACCAATTACGTCTTGGCTTCGAGGAACTCAAATACTACGATCAGGTGTTGCTTACACAGCACCCGGGCACGCGCTCGAAGCGGCGTCGGCGCGGCCTTATCAACGGTGTCGGTTACGCAGCACACGCTCTATTCGGAGTATTAGATGAGTCATTCGCTGAGCAATATCAAAGGGATATCACTTTAGTTAAAGAAAATGAGCAGCATTTGGCAAACCTGTGGAAAAATCAGACGTCTGTTCTGGAAGCGGAATACAATCTCATGAAGCGGTCAGAGGAAGAAAATTATAATTTACGAAAATTAATAAATCGACACGCAAACGAAGTGAAGAAGGCTATTAGTACTCAAGTTACTGAAATCAATAGTCTAGAGCGTATTAGTCAGTTTACACTTGACAGCATTTCAGCAACAAACGTACTTGCTAATTTGAAAAATATGCAGGAATATCTGATTGACACCATCACAGATATTTACCATGGTCGATTTAATTTCCACCTTATTACTTCGGAACAATTGCGCAAGGAGTTAAATATAATATCTAATCATATTTCAACAGACCTCTCTTTGCCCATCTCTAATGGTCAAACACAATTTGGAAATATATACAAATTCCTAAGGGTTAAAGCAAGGATGCTTCAGGAGCAGTTAATATTGGAAATCTCGGTTCCACTTGTCAGCCGAGATGATTTTGAAATATATAAGGTGATTTCTGTTCCTTATAAGAGTGACACACTGACGATGGTCAAAATTGTCCCTATTTCAGATCTCGTCGCAATAAACAAAGAAAAAAATTCATATATACAAATATCAGAAAATCAATTACTATCAAGTTGTGATTATTATTCCGATATTTATTATTGTAACTTACCTAAGCTTTTTTATCATATGAAGGCAGAAGATAGCTTATGTAAGACAGGAATAAAAAACCAATGTCAATTTGAGAAAATGCCATGCGATAACGAATGGATTGACCTGAATAGAAAGAATACATATTTATACTTTTGTTGTGACCGGTGTCCGTTACATATTATGTGTGGCGATCAAATTTCTGCAGAGCAATTAAATACGACTGGCCTAATAAGCATAGGTCATGGTTGCATGTTACGAAACAAAAAAGGTGTCATTTATGCTCATAATGATTATCAGAATGTGCTCAAAACTGGACCAATGGTGTATTCGCCGTATATGGATTCAATCAATAATATGATAAATGTGTCTTTATCGTCGGATGTTATTGGAATTTCAAGAAATAACTACACCATTAGTAGCCTTGAGAAGATAAGCGCGGATCTGGAACATATGCGGAAGGAAGCTCCCATAATTAGCGGTGTGACATTCCACGACATACATCAGTATATTGCCTTATACTCCATTCTGGGCATTTTCGTCGTGGTGGGAGCGATTCTACTATTTCGGAGGTGTCGTCAAACCGGTACGGCAGCACCCGTCCAGCAGATACCATCAGGCATAGCAATGATGCCAATACAGAAGACCACTGATGTGCAGCAGGAAACATCGATAGTGGCATTGGCGGAAGCAGTGGCAGCCAGTCTCGGAGTGGACTCCAAAGAGCCCACCCGGTACCGGACTCCGATAGGTCTAAGTGTTAATGATAAGTGCCGCGGAATGGTTTAAGAAGTGTTAGCATAAGACTTTAAGCATTTCCTAGAGACTGTTAAGCATAATATAATGGATTCATCTTGTAAAGCACTACATATTCATCTTGCACTTTTGCCTGGGGGAGTATGTACGAGCCAAGGCTGTACATTTTACTCGCTCAGGCTTCCTTAGTTTTATAAGCTTAATTATTCCCTATGTAAGTACGTGCCAGGGATCGTACATTCCAATCATCCACAAGCGTGATGTTTTTATGTAAGTACGTGCCAGGGCTCGAACATTCCAATCATCCACGAGCGTGATGTTTTTATTATGTAAGTACGTGCCCGGGCTGTACGGTTTGGTCACTTATAAGCATGACGATTTCCTAAATCGTTGGAGTTTCACCCCGGGAGCATAGCCAGACGTAGGCACTCTCTCTGCTTGTTAGATTGCACTTATTATATAGCAATTAACATAATAGTTATTATTTCGCTCATATTCTATTGTATAACGCGAGTGATAAATATAGAGTAAATTCAAATTATTCTATTATTTCGAACCCCTGATGATCCAGGAACCGTACATTACATATGTAAATGTTTGCAGGATATACCTAGTTTTGAGATTTTGATTTATATTATGTTTTTTTTTTAGAGTTTGTGTGTGGCATGTGTGCATTAAACATGTTAAACTATTTTATATGGTATTTTACTTGCAGCATTCTAAATTGTAAGCCGTTTTTATGTAATGTCGTCAGTCCACTGTGTAGTGGTATGGGAGTGGCAGCATGACGGCCAGTGGCTGCCTCATTCGCCTGGTGTTGCCAGGACGTTAGAACGAGCCCATGCCAAGAAACTAACCAGGGTTGTCCTAGCAGATGCTGAACCAGCTCTTAAGGGGCACTATGTCAATTTACGCACTTTGACTCAGTGTTCAGAGACACAAGGTATGTTTTAATTTTCAATTTCAAAATGTACAATTGTTAAGTTTTTTATTAGGACAGGTTTTTAAAGGCTTTTAATGAAAAATATATTATATTGAATTTGCTCTGGCAAATCTTACATAAGTTCTAAGTAATTTTTAAATCTAGGTATATCAGAATGTTGTGTACGACGATCTTGCTACAGCGTGAGTTCTCCTGGAGGGCGCGGCTTGCGCTGGGAGTGGGCGCGACTAGCAGATCCTCCCAGAGCCGCTGAGCTTTATGATCCTCTGCCTATGGAGGTTTGTTATGTGGGAATATTTAGTTTTTTCAAAGATGTTACTAATAATAATTCATTTTTATAATTATCAGGTACAATGTCGTCTAGAAGAGGCTTGGGAGCGGGGAATTGAAGCTGTCACTATCCAGTATGACTGCCCAACGTCACATCACAGGTTTGCCTGGGGTGTTGAGACTTCTACGAAGGGCTGCGCATCCACCCTACCCTCTCACCCGCTCTACACCCCCTCCGCCTGCCCCACCTGAAAGTATGTGCCCATGGACACTCTCAATGCCAGAGTGCGTTGCCGGCTTTTTAATAGTTTGTATTTTAATTTTGTTTGTTGTGAGTTTTTTTGCTGTTTCCCTAAATTACGAATTACGTATTAGTAGCGGGTAGTCATAACAGACACATCGTGTCCTCATAACATAATTAATTAAATATAGTTAAAAGTAGAAATATATCATAAATAGCAATTACGGAAATATATTTAATAAAAATGAATGTTTGCGAAGGTTGCAAGAAGTCGCTTTTAGCAATCGAAAGCATGCGCTGTTGTTTGTACGTTCATCTATTTCACTATTCATGTGTAAATATTAATACAAGCAACTTCAAGAAACTCTCTAAGGACGCTAAAACTTCCTGGAAATGCCCAGCTTGTAAATTTGCTACAAAAAAAAATAGCTGATAACGAGACGCCCACTCGCGGGCCCAAGCAGACCGGTTATGATGAAGAACGTCGCAACTCACCGGTGGCGCAGGACGAGAGAGTATTTATTAATAGAAGCGAGCTTCAAGCAATCCTTATTGCAGAAATGCCTACAATTTTGCGCGAAATTGTGTCGTCTGAAATATCACCGCTAAAGGAAGAAATGGTGTCTCTCAAGGAAGCTGTGCAATTCGCAACAACAAGATATGAGGAATTGAAATCTTTGGTTGAAAAGCGTGACTCAGAGGTAAAAAAATTGTTAGGGATGAATTCTTCACTCGAGGGAAAAGTGAGTGACTTGTTAGTTAGGCTGTCTAACCTAGAACAACACTCAAGGGAGGCAAACGTTGAGATTCACGGCCTACCTGAATTCAAAAATGAAAATCTGGTCAAAACGGTTGAAAGAATTAGTGAAGTAGTCTCCGGTAACATTGATGACAGCGATATATTGTCATGCTTTAGAGTGGCAAAGAAAAACCCTAATAATGGACGGCCAAGGTCAGTGGTGGTTAAACTACGTAGTAGTCGTTGCCGTGACACTTTATTGGCAGCCACCTTCAGTTTCAACAAAAATAATCCAAATGGAAAATTAAATACCAGTCTGATTGGGATTGGAGGGAATTCTGCTCCTGTATATGTCTCTGAACATCTGAGTTCTGAGAGGAAAAGTCTTCAGGCTGCTACCAGATTAAAGTGCAGAGAATTGGGCATCAAGTTCACATGGGTCAGAAACGGAAACATCTATATCCGTAAGGGTGAGGGTGAACCAGCCAAACGTATCATCTCGGTGGAACGTCTAAACAACCTTCGGTTATGATAAATCGTCAATCATACCAGTCACATCGGTCTCTAAGGTTTCCTCTCTTAATATCTACTATCAAAATGTGCGTGGCTTGAGAACAAAAACAAACGATCTTTATGCCAGCTGCCTAAATGAGGACTATGACGCTATTGTGTTTACGGAGACCTGGTTGCTGCCTGAAATTGGTAACGGAGAACTATTTGACTCCAGATATACTGTATATCGCAAAGATCGAAATTCTACTACTAAGTTAAGAGGCGGCGGAGTCCTTATAGCAATTAAAAAAAGTATTGCTAGTAAACGTTTGATGCAGCTAGAATCTGACCATGAAGACTTATGGATATCCATGACCTTGCAGAAGAGTGGTCGACGACAGAATTTAGGTCTAAGTGTGGTGTACCTTCCGTCTCCGGTAGACAAGAGGGAGGCGCAGTGCTTTTTTGGTAGGGCGAGTGATGCCATTGCCTCGCTCGATGATGTTCTGATTTTGGGGGACCTGAATCTCAGTTGCTTATCTTGGTGTCCCGGTGACATCCCTAATACCCTGGCCCCCGTCAACGATAGCAATAGTTCACTTGGTGTTACTTTAATTGATTTTATGTCTCTAGCCTGTCTTAATCAATACAATAATGTTCTTAATAGTGATAAGAGAATATTGGATCTGGTTCTTTCAAATGTTGCTTTGACTCTTCGGGAAGCAGATAGTCACCTAATTAAAAAAGATATTCTGCACCCTCCACTTGTAATATGTTTGGCTATGCATACTTCTTGTAAGTCTGTTAAAAATAAGGCAGCTACTAAATTAAACTTTTTTAAGGCAGATTATTCTGCAATTAATAGTCACATGCATAACATTGATTGGATAGAAGCGCTAAATGTAAGTGGTAACATAGATGACATGGTTGCAGCATTTTATAACAAAATTAATGGGATCATTACAGCTCATGTGCCTCGAACCAAAATCTTAAAATCTAATTATCCGCCGTGGTTTGATAAAGCTACCATTAGACAGCTTAAAGAGAAAAATAAGCTTCGGAAAAAATTTAGAAAATTTGGTAACCCACGTGATGAGTATGAATTTAAATTGCTTCGTACTCGTTGTGATAAACTAATCAGCAATAAATACAAAGCATATATTAGTAATGTTGAAAACAATATATCTAAAAATGTAAAACATTTTTGGAACTTCATTAAACACAAAAGGAAAGACTCATATACAATACCACAAGAAATGTATCGAGGTGGTGAAAAAGCCACACAAATTAGCGAAATAGCTAATTTATTTGCGGAGCACTTTAAATCAGTTTTCAGTAGCAATGATATTAGTATAATAAGTGAATCTCAATATCCCACAATGTGTTATGTCTTACCGTTATGCAATGTTAGATTTACTGAAAAAGAAATTGAAAACAAAATTAAGACTTTAGATATTTGTAAAGGGTGTGGTCCAGATGGCATTCCCCCAGTTTTTATTAAAAGTTGTTTTTCTTCTTTAACGATACCATTAAACTTAATTTTCAATAAATCACTAGAACTAGGCACGTTTCCGACAATGTGGAAGAAAGCTAGAATCATACCGATATTTAAAAAGGGTGAGACAAATATTGTTACGAACTACAGACCAATTTCTATTTTAAATACATTTTCTAAGATTTTTGAATCGCTTCTATGCCCAATACTCAAATCACACTGTAAAGTATTTGTAGATACTGCTCAGCATGGTTTCTGTGCCAAAAGATCTACTGATACTAATCTCTTTGAGTATGTAAACTTTTTGGCAAATGCAATTGATGAGAGAAAACAAATTGACTGTATTTACACAGATTTTTCTAGTGCCTTCGACAAAGTTAGTCATAGTGTTTTATTGAAAAAGTTGGATTACTTATATGGTATTGGAGGGGGGTTATTAAAATGGTTTGCGTCATATTTGACAGATAGAACTCAGTTTGTGGCAGTTGGTGGTATAGAATCGCAATCGTACATTTCCACATCAGGTGTTCCACAAGGTTCTCATCTTGGTCCTGTCCTATTTACTCTTTTTGTAAATGATATTGGTTCGTTTGTTAAATATAGTAATTTTTCTTTGTATGCGGATGATATGAAAATTTTTAAAGTAATTAATAGCGCTCAAGATGTGGAGTTATTGCAAAGTGACGTAGTGGGTATACAGAGGTGGTGCGATCATAACAAAATGGTTCTAAATGCCAAAAAATGTTCGCAAATTACTTTCTCTAAAAAGAAACTACCAGTCAGTAAGAGTAATACTAGATAGTAATTTATCGTTCATACCACATTACAATGCAATAGTCAATAAAGCTTCTAGAATGTTAGGTTTCATAAGGCGGTCGACTACGTGTTTTAAGAATGTGAAGCCTAAAATCATACTTTACAATTCTCTGGTCCGTAGCATTTTGGAATATGGTAGTGTTGTTTGGAACCCTCTGTCCAAACGTAATAATATGTACATAAATATTGTATTTAGTTGTGAAATTCACCAACGGATGGCGCTGTGCGATTTCTGCATTATGCTGAATCGCGCTATCGTTGTATGTGGTTTTTAGTATAAGGTTTAAGATATTTTTTGAATAAATTGTCTTCGTCCTGGAATCGTGGAGTTTTGTTCATGGTCATTCGTAGCCGGATACAGCAGTGATTGGAAACCCTAGTGTTAGTGTAAAAAAAGTGTAAAATAAGTGATTGTGGTGTGTGTAAGTGTAAAGGTGACTAAAACTGTAAGTACTTTAAAACTTTGCCTAACAAATTCGAACTCTAATAAGTCTGGTAAAATAACTTAGAAAAATTAAGGCAAAAGTGGTTAAGACGGGGAATCCATGCCCAATTTTGCCTAAGTCGAAGTTATTACACCAAACACTTAGAAAAATTAACATAAGGCATGGACTTGTAAAATAATTAAGGCAAAGGTGCTTGAGACGCGGAATCCATGCCCGATTTTGCCTAAGTCGAAATTGTTAGGTACACCAAACACTTAGAAAAATTTGCGATTTGGAACTTGGAAATTTTACAAGTGTAACTTAGAAAAATCACAATGGAATCACTTGTAAGAGTACAGAAAGATATTAACAAAACATTAAAAAGGGCTTATACAAATTTTAAGAAAACACCAAAAGATAGAATTACAGGAAGTTATTTGGAAACCAGATTGGAACAATTAGAAAAACAATGGTCAACATTTGAAGAGACACACATTAAATTAATATGTAACTATGGTGAGGAAGATTATGATGAATCGGAGTATAACTTGAAAGATGTATATGGAGAGACGGAAGATTTATATAGTGAATACAAAATTGATATAAAGGAAAAACTTACTAAATTTAAAAACAGCCCTATAGTTACGAGTGATGTAGTAAGCAACATTAACAGTGAAGTAAAATTACCTAGAATAACAATACCTACTTTTTCTGGCCACTATTCACAATGGACCACGTTTCGTGACCTGTTTAAGTCATTGATACACAGCAACAAATCGTTGCAAGCAGTGCAAAAGTTGCATTACCTAAAAAGTTACCTGACTGGTGAAGCCGAGCAGTTACTACGACATCTGCCGGTTACAAGTGAAAATTATGAACTATGTTGGAGTATGCTAGAACAACGTTTTAATAATAAGAAATTTATTACAAATAGTATTTTAAAAAGATTTTTTCTCAAAAGAATATTGTTTCCGAATCTTCTAATGCTGTTAAGGAATTACTAGACACCACAAATGAATGTTTAAATGCATTGAAAAATATAGG